GTGCCCGTGAGAGGCCGACCGGACCGGGCCGGTCCGGTCCAGTCTGGTGCTGGGCTGGGTGCTGGGACGGCTGATCTGGTCCGCTGGCCCGACGCCATCGCACCACATCTGTCCATTGCCCTCTGAGGAAAGCCTGTTGCTACATGGATGCTCCTTATCTTCTGCTGGATCTATGTGATACATTGATCATGCGTGCAGCCGACGACATTTTTATCACATCCTTACTCAGCATGGCCCAACCGGAGAGGGCCTGGCGACACGACGTTGGAATATCATTCGGTTTGATCCGGCAGTGAGCAGCCCACCTCCAGCGGGCTGCAGCAGTTTGGGTCGACTGCGGTGGAGCAGCGGGCTGTAGCGGTTTGGGTCGGCTACTGTGGAGCAGCGGGCTAGGCTGCAGCACGGGGTTCGCCTCCAGCGGCTGCAGCGGCCGAGGTCCGGCTGCCGTGAGGCATCTCTCCGAGGCCGGTCGCAGTGCTCCGGCGCGCCTCGGTGACCGCGCGGCGCGGGCGGCTAATGACGCGGTACGCCGCGGCGCGTCGTCACGGCCGGTCACGGCGGCGCGCCGTCTGCTGGCGCAGCCGTGGGACCGGCGCCGGCCGACACGGCTGATCGGCCCGATCAGGCCAGTATCCGGCCATGGGGCTCCGCACGCTGGCCTGCAGGGCGGATTGTAGGTCCGAGTTGGCCTCCTGGTCCGGACGTGAGTCGTCCTCCTGGTCCGGACGCGAGTCCCTCCTGGTCCGGACGTAAGTCCCCTCCTGGTCCGGACGTAAGTCGGCCTTCTGGTCCGGACGTGAGTCCCCTCCTGGTCAGGACGTGAGACGGTCTCCTGGTCTGTGCTCTAATGGGTGTTGTGTTACACTGTGTCAGTTGTCAGCTGCAGGATACGGATCTGAGGCGCTGGGCCGGACTGATCTCTGATGTCATCGCTCGGGCCACACCTCAAGCGCCGTCTTGGATTGGACAGTCATCAGAACGTGGCGGCGAGCTTGTGGTGGCTGCTATTCCCATGTGGGGATTTACTGATAGTCTCTGCGCTGACGGGCTCTAGTCTGATCACTGGATCGCATCTTGTGCGGTAGGCCGCCCCCGTGTCGGTCCTTCGCTCCAGCTTCCTGTCCCAGGCTGTCGCTGACCGTGCCGCCATTCGAAAGAACGCTCGGTAATCGCATTGCTGATCACCGCTGACATCGGCATCAGCCATCGTTAGCCGGTATTGGGCCGCACCGCGCCGTCGGCTTCGGCGGCCGGTCCGTGACGACGCTCGGACCGGCTGTAATCCGGCCGTCACGGCCGCCGTCGGCCCGGGCCGCCCGGGTGTCTGCAGGCCCCGCGTGACTGCGGACCGAGCGCCGGTCGGCGGTGTGAGGCCTCGCCCCGCCCCGCCGCCGATCCTGGCTGACTCGGGGCCGCCCGGGTGTCTGCAGGCTCCGCGTGACTGCGGACCGAGCGCCGGCCGGCGGTGTGAGGCCTCGCCCCTCTCCGCCGCCGATCCTAGCTGACTCCGCGCCGCCCGTGTGTCTGCACGCCCCGCGTGACTGCGGACCGAGCGCCGGCCGGCGGTGTGAGGCCTCGCCCCGCTCCGCCGCTGATCCCGGTTGACCCCGCGCCGGGCAGGCCGGCCCCGCTCGTGACGGCCTACGAGGGCCGCTCGATGGCCGGGCCGCGCCACACCCCGCGGACACGCGCCGGATGAGAAAGGGGAGGGACGGGCGAACTGACCGCTGACCGGACCTACGGCCAGGGTCGCGACGCCAGTCGACCGAACGCGCGGCCTTGTCACCCGCGCGGAATGCTCTGAGGAGCTTCCACTGCCTAGTTCCATCGCCTCTTCGCACTAGTCATTCACTTCAGGGTCCAAATTTCAAATCAAATTGCCTGTTTGAGACCTGGACGTTTTTACGGTACGGTTTAAAACGAGTGTGAGCTGTGATTTAGCGTGGTGAAACTCGGCGGCGACCGTGTTATCAGCGGGGCGCTGCCGGTGATGAAGCTCGGTCAGCCTGCCTGCGCTCGGTGCGAACGGTCTCTGACACGGCTGAACAAGGGGCGATGGATTGGACGAAAGTCGGCGCGCAGTGGGCCACCGGCACCTATTAGCGCCATTCCGAGCTCGGCCGCCCCGCCCCGCGCCGCTCTGCGCCAGCCTGGCAGCGACCGAGCGCTTCGGCGGCCGGGCGGCCAGCGCAGGCCAATCGGCGGCTTTCATCGGCCGAACGCATCGGCCGCTGGAAAGCGGAGACAAGGCCGGAGATGTGACGTCCGCTTTCCAGGCGCCGGCCGTGTCGGCAGCTGGCGACAGGCCTCTGGCGCTCCGACGGCCACTCCGGCGTCGTCGCAGGGCGCCAGGACGCCGGGCCGTCGGCGCTGTCGGAGGCGCCGGCGAGAACGGCCGCGACCGGTGACAACGGCCCGTTCCGAAAGTGATAAGAAGCCGAACGCCCGTGGCTCTGCGCGGATTTACATCCGACCGGTTCGGCGACGCTCATCGCGCATGAATATTCATTTTCGATCGGTTAAGAATGCGTTATTAGGCGGCCGCGGACTGGTTCGGGACACACACCGGGCGTGTTTGTGCGGTTCGTGAAGCCCCGGAATGGGGCTCGCGCGGTGCGCGTGTCGGCACGCCGGACAGGACCGGCAGAGGCTGGGACAGAACCGGCAGAGGGTGGGACGGGTTCGGCAGAGGGTTAACAGAACCGACGAAGGGTGGGACAGGACCGGCAGAGGGTGGGACAAGATCGGCAGAGAATGGGATGGGACCGGTAGAAGGTGAAACCGAACCGGTAGAGGGTGGGACGGGACCGGCAGGGGGTGGGACAGGACCGACAGAGGGTGCAACGGGGCCGGCAGAGGGTGGGACGGGACTGGTAGAGGGTGGGACGGAACTGGCAGAGGGTGGGACGGAACTGGCAGAGGGTGGGACGGGACCGGCAGAAGGTGGGACGGAACTGGCAGAGGATGGGACGGAGCTGGCAGAGGGCGAGATGGGACCGGCAGAGTGCGGGACGGGACCGGCAGAGGGTAGGACGGGACTGACAGAGGGTGGGACGGAACTGGCAGAGGATGGGACGGAGCTGGCAGAGGGCGAGATGGGACCGGCAGAGTGCGGGACGGGACCGGCAGAGGGTGGGACGGGACTGGCAGGGGGTGGGACGGGACCGGCTCAGGGTGGGACGGGACCGGCAGAGGGTGGGACGGGAGTGGAAGAGGGTGGGACGGAACTGGCAGAGGATGGGACGGAGCTGGCAGAGGGCGAAATGGGACCGGCAGAGTGCGGGACGGGACCGGCAGAGGGTGGGACGGGACTGGCAGAGGGTGGGACGGGACCGGCTCAGGGTGGGACGGGACCGGCAGAGGGTGGGACGGGACTGGCAGAGGGTGGGACGGGACCGGCAGAGGGCGGGACGGGACCGGCATTGGGCGGGACGGGACCGGCAGAGGGTGGGACGGGACCGGCAGAGGGTGGGACGGGACTGGCGAGGTTATGGAGCGACTCAGAATGAACTTTCAGCCGGATGTGCTTTGCAACACACTGTCTGTTGGACGGATGTCGCTGGTTGTTTGCTGAGAGTGGACATCACCGAGGCGGCGGCTATTTGTGGGTCACCATACACGACCCAGAAGACGAGGCACGCAAAACGACCGTCTGCAGTCTATTATAGGAAATGTATCGCTGACTGGATGGTGTGTTGCCGCTTGGGATGATGGATGCCCGCTGTTAAAAACAGGCTGCAGCTACTCGAGTTTCACCAGAGCCCGCGGAGCCGGCGTGAGGGATGACGACGTTAATGACCCGCCCTGTTCCGTGGACCGTAAAACAGCCAAATCACACGGCGCCGGGCCAGCTTCGAAGAACTGGTGGTGCGGGTCCACACAGGCGCCGCGGGCCGCAGTGCACGGGGTGAAGACCTCACCACCTGGCGGCGGACGGCTGGCGGGCGAAGGTGGGAGACCCTGAGTGGCTGCCGAGCGGGCGCCAGCAATCGCCGTGCTCTCGCGAGGCGCAGGCGCCACCTGCCGGCGACAATTATCGCCAGACAATGGGGCTGGGCGGCAGGTGAATGGGAATGTGCTCGGCCGCCGGTGCGCAGGTGTCGCTGCAGAACGTAAGCTGGTCGGTCCCGTTTGCGTGGAGCGGGGCGGCACATGCAAACTGGGCTATCCAAACAGACCCTTTCAGAGAGGCTGTGCGCAGCTGTCTGGCGCCTGGTGTGCGAGCCAAAGTTGACCAATAAACACGGGCTGGCGGCGCCGGCAACCGACAGAGATGCGCACTTCCACCGGCGTCGGCAGCGGCGGTCAGCGCTGTAACAGATTCCGGTGCTCGTCTGCCCCATTTGGCAACGAGCTGGGATCGGACGGGTGATGATTGGACGGGACTTGGTGGCGGCGGGCTGCCGGGCGCGCCGCTCCTGCCGGCGGCGCCGCTCGGCGACCGTCACGCCATACGCCACGGTACGCCGCCGCCCGGCCAGCGAACGGTCTCCGGCGCCGCTGCCGCCGCATCTGTCGGTCGCCGCCACCGTCGGCCCGTTTTGGGCAGCGATGGAGCGGAGCGGCGCCGCTGACTCCGTGAGGGGAGGAGGCGGGGTGTGCACGGTGGCCCGCCCGCCGCGGAGGCGTGGGAGCGCGGTCGCTGCCAGTCGCTGCGCGCCGTTTTTGCCGCAGTCCGGCCGCGCCGCCAGCCCGTGAGTGACACTACCGGCGCTACGCGGCGTCGTGCGGCGCGCGCGCGCCGGGGTGCGGGCCGGCCTTGAGGCGGCCGGCATGTCCGGCCTCGCGGCCGCTTACCCGTTCCCGAGCGCCCGCCGCCCAATTCAATTTGGCCGATGGCCGACCGGACGCCTCGTGTGAAGCGCCGCCGACCCGGGCGGCGAGGTCAGATGTGTGACGGCGATAAGCGGCCAAGAACACAGCCGCGCGCTGTCTGCCGTCGCTCGCGGGAGTCTCTCGCTGTTTGCCCCATCTAATGTGTTTTCTCTGTGTTGTTTCAGGGCGGCTTCGCGCGGGTCCATGAGCTCACTGATCTCACCAACAACAAGGTCTACGCTGGCAAAATCATCCCCAAGAGCCGGATCACAAAGCCGCACAACAAAGAGAAGGTAAGTGGCTATGATGGGCGTCGGTCGCAGGCGCCGGGGGCGGCTCTGCGGCTCCGCGGCGCGCCATGGTTGGTCGGCCGCTGGCCCAGGCGGACATTCCGGCGGGCCTTTTTACGGCGCGAGCGAGCGTGCCGGCCGCCCGCGCCAGACGCACCTGCGCCACGCAGCGCGGGAGGCGCCAACGGCGTGGCGTAGGGCCCACGCCGCCGCCGTGCGCGCGCCCGGAATTTGCGTCAGCTGGGCGTGTTCGTCACGTGATAAGTGATGCAGAAGCGCGGCCGTTCTCGGCTGCTTATTATGTACGGCGCGACGCGGCCGGGCGGCGGTTCATGGCTGCCGCCCTGGCGCGCCGCACCGCCGGCGCAGAGGGCGCTGCCTGCAGCTGGCGCCGGCGGCTTCAGGGGCTGGCACCAGGCGCCGTCAGGGCAGGCCGATACGGGGGATGACGTGACGGTGGGAAAGATTGCACAGACGTTGGGTCTTAACAGGCGTGAGCTTTGAATGCAGTGGCATCCGGAGCCTGCGTGGACCAGGCAGAGTCAACAGACAGACATGTAGAAACGTTCATTAATGTGGCATGCACCCCGATCTTTAACCAGGCTATTGCGCATGCTGGAATGCTCGGCAAGGGGTCTCTGTCGTGCTCCGGGACAGCAGACGACTCCGGCCCGGCCCAGCTACTCTGCAAACGCGCCGCCCATGGCCGGCGCCTGGTCACGAATCACGATCTGCGCAGCGATGGCAGCGCACGACCGTGTCGCAATGGCGCACCACCGCGGCGCATCCCTGCAGCCGCCACCGGCCGAGCGGCGCGGCCCGGCCCGGCCCGGCCCGGCCCGGCCCGCCCGCGACTTACGGTTGCCACACCATGATGCCGAATCGGCGGATTTTTATAGGAGGCTCCAGACTCGTTTTGCAGAGGTGCCAAGGCCGGTGGGTGGCGCCGGGCGCGAGCGCGGGCCGGCGACTCGGCTCGGATCGGCTCGGCCGCTTGCTGACCGGCTGTTCCCGCGGGGACGTCCGCTGCGTCTGAGGGCTCCCCGTCCCCCGCCGTCCCGGAAGGAGACTGCCGAGCCTGGAGCGCCGACAACTCCACCCGCCCGGCAGGTGCGCAGATACGCGGCTATTGAGCTGCAGCAGAGCAGATGCGGGGTGGGCGCTGAATCTCCCACTCATGTCCCGCGGGTGCGGGTGCGGGAGCGGCCTGGAATGAAGAGAGCACTGGAAGGGAAGGGGGGAGGACGGGACGGGAGAGAAAGAGCGTGTGCGCTGGTGCTGACCCGGTAGCCCGCGGCGGCCCCAGTGTAAATAAACAGCGGATTGCGGGCTGGAGGGCCGCCCTGGCCGTCAGTCGGAAGACTGGTTGTTTTCAGTTATGTTGGGGTGGGAGCCGCCACGGCCGACACGCACGCCCCTCCCCCCTCCCATACACAACACACGGACGGACGGACGGACGGACGGACGGACGGACGGAGATGGGGGCCTTCGACTCGACATTAATTAGAGCACAGGCCGTCACGGAGCGCCGTCACGCGGACACACCGCCGTGCGTCGGCCGTAGCGCACGGACACGCAGCCGTCGCGCGCGCCACGGTGTCCCGTCCAGGAGGCGAGCCGTCGCGGTCGGCCGGGCTCGGAGTGACGCCGCGCTGGGGTAGGTCATGTCCGGTGTGCCAGCGAATGGCGACGATGCCACTCGGTCATAAGACGCGCCGGAGCGTTGACCGGGCAGCCGGGGACCGGTAACTGCGTCACCAGACCGGGCCGGGCGCGGCTGGACGGGCGGCGAGCGCGGTGGGAAGTATTGGGTGATGGCGTCTGTCGGGGGACGATTACGCGGATCTCGGGTCGCGCTCTCGCGGTCTCCAGATGTTGCGCCGTGGCACCGGGTCTGGCCGTGCGAGATAGCAGCAGCATCCGCCATTTACGAGCTGTTGCACGACGACGCCACGCTGCGGAAGGCGCCGAGCGCATGGATCGGGCGCCGCGTCCCGTCGCAGTGGAGCGCCGGCGAACTGCAGTTCCGTACGCTGCTGGGGCCGGTGGGGGCCGCGCCGGGGCGGCAGGTGGACAACGAGCATTGCTGGGCCGAGGCGTCGCGGCATGGCCGAGCAGCGCCGCTCGTCTGGCTGCAAACCCCAGTGTGTGGACGACCGGTAATCGGGCCGATCGCCGCCGGCGCCGTTCGTGTCGGCCGGCCGCCACCCCCGCGCCATCTCGTGGCAGGGGGCGGCGCGACACGGCAGCCGGTCGCCGTCGATATATGACTGTGATGTCCGACAGCGGGAGCGTCGCCCAGCGCGGCCGGCTCAAGGCCGGACGAGCAGGTGCCAGCCGCGCTCGGCGCCGCTGCTCCAGCTTCGTGGCCGGATCGGATGGCCGACTTCCCGCGGAAGGGATCGTCTTTGCGCGGCGCCCACCTGCCGTCGCTGACGGTCGGCCGGCGCGGTTCGTAATCGCTTCCGCCGGCCGGTCTGCGCGCGCCACGCCGAGCGGCCGGCCGTAATCATCCGTTCGATCTGCGCAATTCGGCGCACTTTCGTTTTCCAATCAGGCGGTCATTGTTCGGCGCTCGGCGATGTCGACGGGGCGGCACTGGCTGAGGCTGTGGCAGCTGGAGAGGGGGCGGCACCCGCCTGGCGGTCCGGTTCTCCGCCCGCACGGCTATATCTTCGCTGATGGTGTGTCACTGGGTGTGATACATGCCGTGTACTGTCATCCGGCCCGTCGTTGGCAGTGTACTGTCAGGAGACTGAGTGCTGAGTGCTGAGTGCTGAGTGCTGAGTGCTGCGTGCTGCGTGCTGAGTGTTGAGTGCGCTCGCCCGGGATCTCGCACATCTCTCTTCGAACCTGGCCATCAGTCATGTACCGTCGGCAGGTGACTTTGTTCCGGCGCGGATATGGACGTGAACGTGGATGCTCCGCGGGAGTGCGCGTCTCGTTCGTGACCCGACCATCAGCCGTGTGGCCACCGAGAATCACCGCGCCCGCAGTCAGGGCCTGGTGACCCAAGCCGGGAACTCCCCCCCCCCCCCCCATTGTATTAGTGTTCCACCAACCGGGATCACACTGATACAGCGACCAGCGGCGGCTGCCGTGGCCGGCGGCTCGCCGTCCCCCGTCCCCCGGGCCACATCCCGTCTCCGATGTGGTGTCCCCCTCCCCAACGCGGGGGCCTGCCCTGTCGGCTGGGACCGCGTGCCAGCCCGGGAGCCTGTCAGCCGCCAGCGCGACAGGCCACCACTCCGATGACAGGCCGCCACTCCGATGACAGGCCGCCACTCCGATGACAGGCCACCACTCCGATGGCAGGCCGTCACTCCGATGACAGGCCGCTACTCCGATGACAGACCACCACTCCGATGACAGGCCGCCACTCCGATGACAGGCCGCCACTCCGATGACGGGCCGCCACTCCGATGACAGGCCGCCACTCCGATGACAGGCCGCCACTCCGATGACAGGCCGCCACTCCGATGACAGGCCGCCACTCCGATGACGGGCCGCCACTCCGATGACAGGCCGCCACTCCGATGACAGGCCGCCACTCCGATGACAGGCCGCCACTCCGATGACAGGCCGCTACTCCGATGACAGGCCACCACTCCGATGACAGACCGCCACTCCGATGACATCCGTCAATGCCGGTCGCCCAGCCGGAATTGCCGGGCGGCGGGCGGAGCTGATCGCGGAGCGCCGCCGTGTCAGGGAGAGCTGATCGCGGAGCGCCGCCGTGTCAGGCGGAGTTGATCGCGGAGCTCCGCCGTGTCAGGCGGAGTTAATCGCGGAGCGCCACCGTGTCAGGCGGAGTTGATCGCGGAGCCCCGCCGTATCAGGCGGAGTTAATCGCGGAGCGCCGCCGTGTCAGGCGGAGTTGATCGCGGAGCGCCGCCGTGTCAGGCGGAGTTGATCGCGGAGCGCCGCCGTATCAGTCGGACTGCGGCGCCGCCAGGTCGCCTGATATGGCGGCTGACACAAGGGGCCGGCGGCCGACCACAGTCTGGACCTGGTCAGACTGGCTGACTGAGCCGAGACACTGGCGGCAGCGTGATGCTGTTGTGACGAGCGGCAGGCGGGTGGGCGCGGCGCGATGGCTGGCCAACTCGGCCGGCGACATCTGATAATTGATAACTGTGGCCTGGGAACCCGATTGACTCGCGCGCCCATGGCCCGGCGCGGCTGATTGATCACGCTCCTTAATGAGCCGTTCTGATTGGTACAGGCTGGCGAATTAATCGGAGCCGGGCCGGGCGCTGTCTGCTGGCGGACGTCTCAGCCATGGAGGACCGGCGGCCGCTATCGTTCGGACCGGGATGTTGTTGGGGAGAGGCCGGCCGGCCGGGCAGTGATCGGCTTCACCTGGAAGCGTATGCGCGCGGCAGTAGCCGGTGCGACGGGCCCGGGCGGACCGTAGCGTTCTGCTCACCGCTGGCCAGCACAGGACAACCACGCGTGGCCGTTGACCTGCATCCATCGGACGATACGGATAGCGATACCGATTATGTATCAGGGCGATGTCATCGGCCTGCATCGGCGCGTGCTCGCCGCGCGCGCGTGATCGCCCGCTGGCGCCAGCCCCATGCCACCCCGCTTCGAACGGGCTCGCACATCTGTGAGGGCTCTGGCCTGGTGGAGCCAGGTGACGGCCTCGCGTCAGCGGCAGCGGCCATGCCTTGGTTGTGTGCACGATTACAGACGGTAGGCGTTTCCTTCGCATGGTTCGGAATGGCCACAATCAATGACCAGAAGGCAGCTGCGCCTTGGTGCTAATGACAGGACACCTTGAGGAGAAAGTCAGCTCGCTGCGGCAGCCAGCCGTGCCGGACGCAGGCATGTGCGGTCCCTCGCCGCGGCCGCTGCATCCGGTGGGCGTCGGTCTCGCCACGGTCCTTGGCCGGGCCCGACGTGGCCGGTGTTGACACGCGTCGGCCGCCGCCTGACGCCGGCCTTGGCCGCCCCGAATACCGCGCACCATGGGCCGGACCGGTCTGCTTGGCGCGCGCGCCAGCAGGCCGCCAGCGTCGTTACCGATGCCGCGGCTGGCGCTGACGTCACGGCGTCCTTGCACCGCGGCCGGGCCGAGCCGGGCCGGCGGGGCGCGGTCGCCGCCGACGGTCGATGGTTGGTTCCGGCCGCGGCCCCCGGGGGCTCTCCGCCGGGGCCCGGGTGGCGCTCCGCTGGCGGTGGTCTTTGTGCGATGCGGGAGACTAATGGGCCGTCGCTTCCGCGGCCGCCCGGCGGTGTCGTCGCCCGGCGGCCAGCGGCGGCGGCGGCGGCGGCGGCGGCGGCGGCGGGCGCGGACGCCGTCGCGTCGGCCGATCGCCAGTCAGCGCCACGGCCGGGCCTGTTTGTCCGCTGTCAGCCACGTGTTGTCACACGGGCCCACATGTGCGCGCCGGCCGTGGGAGCGTGTGGCTTGCTCGGCGAGGGGTCACTGAGGCGGCGCATGGGGCCAGAAATACGCCGCAAGCCCCCCGCCACGACCGGCGGGGAGCGTCGCTCCCTCTCCCTCCGTGTAGCGACTCTGGACGAGGCTCAGGGCTGACACCGGCGCCACACGGAGTTGAGATAAGCGCTGGTGCAGCACAGCGCCGGCTGCGGCTGCGGTCCGAGCTGCCCGTCAGCTCAGCTCGGTAAGAGAAGCACCGTCGTTTTCAATATAGCAGTTTAGCTTTTCCACATCACGTACACTGCTGCTGTTTGTGATCGATCGCGGGCTTTGCACTGCCGTTGACTGAAATACAGGAGAATCGCATTCAGTCGTCAGCAATCTGATCATTGTTGGACGCGGAAAGAAAGCGCGGTTGTTGCCTTTTGCTGTTTCTTGGCGGAAGTTCCGCGCCATCGTACTGATGCCGTGGGGAGCGAAGACCCACTGCAGAGGCGCGACGCCGCAAGTCATGATCGACCAGCCAATAGCCGCCTCCCGCGGCTGCGGCGCGCTCTGATGGCGCGGCGGCGGCGCCACTAATATAACAGCGCCAGGTTCGTCTCACAGAGTTAAGATCAAACGACCCGGGGCGCCTGGCCTGCCTGTCGAGCTCCTCGCCTGCCGCCTGGTCAGGCCGCCCGTGCCGGTAGCAGGGGCGTGCCATCGGGCGGCGCCGGGTGTCTCTTGGCGACAGTCCTGCGGCACCGTGCCCAGCCGGGGGCCGCCTCAGTGGCCTCCTCGCACCGCTGGCTGGAAGGGAGGGAGCCAGCAAGAGAGCCGCGCTTGGACGACACCCAGCGGCACGGTTCCAGCTGGGGCGGAGTTGATCTCTCGCCACGGCGCGCTCAAACCGAACGCGATCGCGGCGAATGTTTTCTTTGGGCTGCGGCTCGGAATGGACACGTCCTCGCCTCGAGCACTTCTGCCGGCGCGCTGTAATGGATGTTGCATAAGCTGCGAAGGCAGCTGGCCGATCCAGCTCCCCGATCGCCGGCTCCGCAATCGCTGTCGATCCGCGCGAAGTCCGCGGGGCGTGGCCCGGCCGGGTGTACCGCTCGTCCGCCCGGCCCATTTCATCTTCCGCCCAGGCGCCTGCGTCGGACGCTGATACATCGGCCGTACAAATCACCGATCTAAGGCGACTTAACCCCGAAAGGAAATGGTGCGCGTTAAGCGCCACTGAACCGCGTCGGCTAAAAAACCGGCCGGCCGCCTCGGCCGGGATGGATGAACAGCGTGCATGCAGTCTCGGCTCGGGATGGATAACTGACGGGGTTTTCTTCACTTATTGCCTTTCGGTGTCGGCTGAAGAGACCCCTTGTTACCCGACTGCGCTGATAAATATGGTGGAATGTGTTTTGGGGACTGGCCATCAGCAGACGACCTAGACTTATGTTTATAGCGCCCATTGGGCCTGGGGACAATGTTTACTCTGTCTGCTCCTGCTTCTGCTCTTCTGTTAGCGCCGATAGGCGCCTGTTTATCATGTCAACGTCAAAGTCCTTACCAATGAAACTGGTCATCGCTGCGGCGTGCTGTACGCTGAGTCTGCCGGGTGTTGGAGGCGCCGGGATGTCGCCGATGTGTGGCGGAGGGCCCGTCACGCCGCTGGCACTCGCCGCAGACCAGCCTGACGTATCATGCCGCAGGCATGTGTCACCCTGGCGAGCAGCCGTGCCCGGCCGGGGGCTCGGCTCGGCTCGGCCCGGCCGCCTGCCTCTGTTGGCTCGCGTCCGTCGTGCTCCGCCGCGTGGAGGAGCGTGGCCGGCGCCGGCGGGTCGGGTCGAGCCGCCGGCCGTGTTTACCTATCCCGACTTTCGCCTGGCTCCTTGCGCTGAGCAGCGCCGAACGCGAGCAGGTGTCGGATCGCCGACTGCCCGCGGCCCGACCGGCCAGAGCGTGAACGGCTGCCAGCCCTGCTGGTCGGCGTCATCCATCGCGCCGCCCGGCGTGGCGAGGCCCAGCGCGACCCGACACCCTAATTGGCCGTCCTTCGTCGGCCGATGCTGGGAGCGGCCGGCTGCCAGCGGGCCGCCGCCAGATAGCGGATAGGGTTTCGTCGGGAAAAACGGTCGGCGCCAGGGCGAACGGGCGATTAAGCCAATCGGGGCCAATAAATTCGTCGGTGGCGCTGACGGCTCGCAGCGGGACGCGTCCCAGGTGAGAGAGCGAGAGCGAGGGCCGCGGACCTCGCTGCCGGGCCATGCGATTCCTCCCGCCACCCTCGGTCGCCGTCCGAGTCGAGCCGCCCGAAACGAGCGTCGATAGCGCCACGCGAACGTTCGCCTGGCATGCGCCATTTTTGGCTGGAGCGCGCCACATTGTTGCCAGTGCGTGGGGCGATATTTTGAGAGTCCGCCGGGTGATAATCTGTAAAATACCGCTCCCTGCCAAGAGCGCGCCGGCCAAAGTAAGCTGCTGCGGCGCCGGCCGGCCGGCTGGCAGTGAGTTGCGTGGCCGCTGCGTACGGACGCGACCTGCTGCGCCGTCGGTGGAAACAGGGAGACGGCCGTCCGGCTGCGCCCCACGACCGCGGCGGCCGGACGCCGAGCGCGGCGCGTGGAAGCCGCGCCGACGGCCGGCGGTGTGTTTTGCAAAGGTGGCTGGCAGATGCCGGAGAGATACCAAAACAAAGGCCGGCAACGACTCGGCCGCGCCACCGTGTCCTTGTGGCTCGACTTGGGATTACAGTTTTTTAGGTGAATTACATGGCGCGTCGCCGGGGACGGTCGTGACCTCGGCTGCCGGCGAAGGTGACGGAGGGGCGGCGGGCAGTCCTCTGCGCCGCCTGCGGGGCTCTGACCTGACCACGGCGCCTGCCGGCCAAGTCAGCTCGCGCGTGCGGCCCCCGGTTCTCACGTCCGCTGGCTCCCGTGTTTGTCTGGAGCATTGCTCGCTCGGCGCCGCGAACGTACTGCCGGCCTGTTTGGCAGGCGTGTTGACCACCGGCGGCCCCGGCCGGTGGAAAGTCGGCGCCGACGTGACGGCGGCGACGCCGGCCGCCCCCGTGACCCCAGGGTGACCCGCGCTCTCTCCCGCCGACAGATCGCGCGCGAGATTGACCTGCACCGGCACCTCCGACACCGCAACGTGGTCCGCTTCGAGCACTGCTTCGAGGACGCCGAGAACGTCTACATCATCCTTGAGTACTGCCCCCGTAAGGTGAGTGCCGCGTGCGAGCGGCTCGGCCGATGGCCGGACCCAAGAGGTCAGCCGAGTCGAGCTGAGCCGGGCCGAGCCGGCAACGACTCAAGGTCGGCCGTCATTCGAAGGCGCCGAGTCGCCGGGGGTGGCGCGGGGACGCACGTGGCTTGGGACGACCGACCGGCCGGTCCGCCGGGCGAGGCAGGACACAGGTTACCAAGTGTGCAGGTCTGGCTGGGGACTACCGAATGGTGAGACAGTCTTGAGGGGGTTGACTTGGGACGAGGGACCCGCCCGTCGGGGACAGTCTGTCGAGGCATGACTGGAGACGCTTGGCCCGCCGCCTCAGACTGAGACCGTTCCTAACGTGACAGTGTATCTCACGCTGTGCAGGCGTCACGCAGGGCCGTGACGTCTCACGCTCGGCGCGCGTCACGCCTGCGTAGAGCGGGGACCGTGTGGACGGCAGCCGGCTGGCCGTCTGTCCGTCCGACCGGGCTCCTCGAAGATCAGCAGGAGACGGCCGGGACGCCGCTCTGTCGGCCGCCCCATCGCCGCTGATCGCCGCACGGGCCTCTGTGCAAGCTCAGACACGCCTGTCCGGCCGGCCGGACGTCACCGTCCGCCTGTCCGGTCGGCCGGACGTCACCGTCCGCCTGTCCGGTCGGCCGGGCGTCACCGTCCACTCTGCCCGGCGTGGCGCCATTCTGCGCTGCCAAAGGCCGACAGCGGCGGCCAGCCAGCGCCGGCGGCGGCGGCGGCGGCGGCCGATCCAGGTCTACGAGGCCACTGATTGCGCTCGGCACTGAAATGTCTCTCTGTGCTCTCCGCATGCATACCTTATTAGTGGATGTTATGGCGTGATGTGCAATGTTTTCGCGAAAGCTGGCTCCGGGTTTGGCTCCGGCCCTGGCCACGTCCTTGACTTAGCGACCACGGCTTTAACGTAGCGGGCCCGTGCTGGACGTGGTCGGCTGCGATATGCAAGCTTTAATGACACGCTTGTCGGCGACGTGATAGGCAGTTTGTCTGCCTTGTCATGTAAACGGGGATCGAACGTGGGCACGTTATTGTTTTGTTATTACAACCTACGACCTTTGTCAATGTAAACATGCTTATGCATCAGCGTGCTTTCTGTGTAGTCATTCTAAGGTAGAACCGCATCTTTACTCTGACTTAGTGACTATGCAATAGCAATCACATCAAAGTCTTCAAAGATCTCTTTCCAGCCTGAGTTCACAAGTATGGTGCTGTGCAGCCAGCACATATTAAATGCCCGGTCGTCCCTCCAGAGCGATGCAGCGAATGTGGTCCACGCAGAGCGCTCGGGCTCAAGGAGTGATGGGATATTGATGAGCTTTCCCGGCGTCGGCGAGGTCGGCGGTGGCGTTGGCGCGCTGGCCAGAGGGCGGACGGTTGGCGAGCCTGACCAGCCGTGTACTGCCACCGCCGCCGCCGCCGCCGCCGCCGCCGCCGCCGCCCCAGCGCGCCGGCGGCCGTGATGTAGGGGGCGGGCCGCAGGGAGCCGCCTCCCGGACGGGCTCGGCACGAGCCGGCAGAGCGCTGCCCGAGCTGTGCGGCGAGCGGCCCCGACCCCTGGCGAAGCGCGTCTGCCGGCGCCGGCTGGGCCTCACAACCGAGGGGTAAGCTGGCCCGGCCCCAGGCGAGCCTTGCGGTGGTAGCGCGGGACGTTCTCACGCAACTCGGCGGCGGCGAAGCTATTTGCGGGAGCTGCCAGCTAACCGTGGTGTCCTTACACGGGCCCGGGAACGGCGTTAGCTATTTGTGGTAGCTGACATCTCTCCGTGTGTTGTTAATCCATCTCCACACAGAATCTCCATGCTGCAGCTGGACAACCTGTCGGCGGATCAAGGCGGTCGCGCACGGCGTTGATCGGCCGCCGCGATCGCTCTCGGTCGCCGTGGGAGCCGGACGCCCTCCCGCAGGGTATCTGCGGCCGTCTCAGAGCGCGTTGGCCCCGAGAGGCCGATCTGGCAGCTCTCCGGGCAGGTGCGGCCGGCCGGTGCCTCCTTTTTGGGCACTGGCCGGCGGCGACAGTGTGGGAACGCTGATGGAGCGGACGATACGGCCGGCGGCCGGGCTCCGGGCGCCGCGGCGCGTCTCGTCGCCGCCTCGCCGCCGCCTCGCCGCCGGGCCGCTGGAGAGGGCCACCGGTCGCGGCAGGTGCCCGGCAGCACGGCCGCGCCTCCGTCACCCGCGGCTCGCCGATGAGAGCGAAATGACTGCGAGAGTAGTGGTCAGCTTTGCGCGGCGGCGTCCGGGCCGGCGCCTCATTTCGCCACCGATTGCCAGACATCGGCACGGCCGGAGGAAGTGTTCGGGGTGACTCAGACCGACCCGGCGCCAGTCCCCGACCGCGGCGAAACTTCCCCGGAGACGCTGCGGCGAGCACGGCACGCATCGGCGCTCGGCCAGCGCCGTGAGAGCCGCTGAAAAGTGAGCGTGACTCGGAGCGTACGGTCCACGAGAGGGCGCCGTCTGGGAGCGGGCGGCGCGGCGCAGGGCCGCCCAGCCGCCGGCGGCGCGGCGTGTACTCCGTGCAGCGGGCCGGTTGCAGACGGGTCTTTGTCCTCGGGCCGCGCCAGCGTACTCTGCTCCAGACGCGACCGGTCCCGGCGGCGTTGTGTCGTCGTCAGGAGCTGACGGTGCCGGACTGCTGCTGGATCCCGGCGGGAGTCGGCTATCGGCGCCGCCATCTTGTGTCGGAGATGACTGGATCGCCACGGTGGGCCGGTCGGCGGGCGACGCCACATGACGAGGGCGGGCCTGCCGCTTCCGCTCTCTGTGCCTGCGGGCTTGACGGGCCTGGGGCAGACGTGCTGTAGGCTTGAATCAACTTGATCCCGTCTGTTTGGTGCTCTGGGTGTGGGGTGCGCGGGACAGCCTCGGTCCCGTCTGTTGGGTGCTCTGGGTGAGGGGCGCGCGAGACAGCCTCGATCCCGGCTGTTGGGTGCTCTGGGTGTGGGACATGTGGGACAGCGGCCGCCTCCGCTGGATCGCCTCCGCAGGCGATGTGGCTGCAGGCGCCCCTGCTGCTGCTGGCCGGATTGCCTGTTCGGTTCGTGCCGACGCATGGCCTGCGCGGTCAGTGTCCTCAAATCGGATCCCTGCCAGGGCATCGGACGGAAAACGCCATCTCGCGCGTCACATTGGGAGCAGAAGGTAACGTCGCATCGTGGAGCTGACCTAGCATTCTTCCTATGCTGTCAGCGATACAATTCGAAATTATCCGGGAATTGATCTTCGTTGAGAATCAAGAATAAATGCGGGTCTGAATTAGCGTGTCTTTTTTTCTAGCTGGGTTTGTTCAGGTTTATATGAGGCTGACGCTCAGCTGCTCCAGCGTTGGTGGGCCAGTCAGCGGCGGCTCTGCAGCTTAAGGCTGTGAGGCTCAGCTGCTCCAGCGTTGGTGGGCCAGTCAGCGACGGCTCTGCAGCTTGAGGCTGTGAGGCTCAGCTGCTCCAGCGTTGGTGGGCCAGTCAGCGGCGGCTCTGCAGCTTGAGGCTGTGAGGCTCAGCTGCTCCAGCGTTGGTGGGCCAGTCAGCGGCGGCTCTGCAGCTGAGCGATGTCCTTCGCCAGATAGTGTGGAAAATTGGGGCCGCTGGACACCCGCCGGCACTCGAGCCCGGATCTCCGAAAATAAATAAATCTTCCAAAGGTGGAACAGGACCAAGTTTCCGTACTATCTGGCGAAGAATATCGCTAAGCTTCAAAGCGGTCAGACTCCTGGCTCACCAAAGCTGTAGTAGTATTTGAGTAGTTTAAGGAGTGGTAGGTGAGTAGTTGGAGTAGTCAAAAAACAACCAGATATAAATAAATCATGTTTGTTGAAAGAGAGCGGGAGACGTATGCTGTGACTTTGCGGCTAATGCACTCATCAAAATACGACGCAGGCACTCACGCAAAATTCCATGACGTAATCGGCAACGAATCCTCTCCGAACCATGCGCCTCCTCGGCGCTGCGTGCCGCGGCCCCGCGGCGCTGCGGGGGGGGGGACACTGTCCGGGTCCCGTCTGGCGAGGGGGACACACACAAACACGCACGCACGCATGCACGCACGCATGCACGCCCGCACGCACGCACGCCCGCACGCACGCACGCACGCGCGCACGCGCGCGCGCGCACACACACACACACACACACACACACACACACACACACACACACACACACACACACACACACACACACACACACACACACACACACACACACACACACACACACACACAGACACACACACACACACACACACACAGACACACACACACACACACACACACACACACACACACACACACACACACACACACACACACACACACACACACACACACACACACACACACACACAGACCATGCCCCGCCCCGGCGCATCCCAAGGGGGCCATCTCTCCCCTGGCAGCAGCGCTGATGGAGTCGCCGGCGGGCCGCGGCGCTGGCGGCCGTCCAGCCGGCCGGTCGGTAATGACAGTCTCCGGACGCGCGCGGGTCGCCGGTGACCGAGTGTCGCGCTCCCCCAGGCCGCGTCGGTCACGTCGGCCGGCGACGGCGGCCAGCCGGCGGCGGGGCCAGCGCGCCACCGACCGCTGGAGGGCGAGGGAGAGAGAGGGTGGCGGCTACAGCGGGGCAGCGGCGCCCAGCCCGCTGGAGGGCGAGGGAGAGAGAGGATGGCGGCTACAGCGGGGCAGCGGCGCCCAGCCCGCTGGAGGGCGAGGGAGAGATAGGGTGGCGGCTACAGTGGCGGCGGCAGCGGCGCCCAGCCCGCTGGAGGGCGAGGGAGAGGGAGGGTGGCGGCTACAGTGGCGGCGGCAGCGGCGCCCAGCCCGCTCGCGGCGTCTCTGCTGCCTGCCTGGTGTGGCTGGTCGCTGAGCGGGTTCGTCGGGCGCGGGGCGGCCCGGTGGGCTGTGGGCTGTGGCCGTGGGGCTCTGTCTCGCCTGCCGCGGGGCGGCCCGGTGGGCTGTGGCCGTGGGGCTCTGTCTCGCCTGCCGCGCGGTCGGCCCGGTGGGCTGTGGGCTGTGGCCGTGGGGCTCTGTCTCGCCTGCCGCGGGGCGGCCCGGTGGGCTGTGGCCGTGGGGCTCTGTCTCGCCTGCCGCGGGGCGGCCCGGTGGGCTGTGGGCTGTGGGCTGTGGACGTGGGGCTCTGTCTCGCCTGCCGCGGGGCGGCCCGGTGGGCTGTGGGCTGTGGCCGTGGGGCTCTGTCTCGCCTGCCGCGGGGCGGCCCGGTGGGCTGTGGCCGTGGGGCTCTGTCTCGCCTGCCGCGGGGCGGCCCGGTGGGCTGTGGGCTGTGGGCTGTGGCCGTGGGGCTCTGTCTCGCCTGCCGCGGGGCGACCCGGTGGGCTGTGGGCTGTGGCCGTGGGGCTCTGTCTCGCCTGCCGCGGGGCGGCCCGGTGGGCTGTGGGCTGTGGGCTGTGGCCGTGGGGCTCTGTCTCGCCTGCCGCGGGGCGACCCGGTGGGCTGTGGGCTGTGGCCGTGGGGCTCTGTCTCGCCTGCCGCGGGGCGGCCCGGTGGGCGGTGGGCTGTGGCCGTGGGGCTCTGTCTCGCCTGCCGCGCGGTCGGCCCTGTTACCATGTACGGGTGCGCGGCGCCACCGGTCGGCCGCCGCCAGTGTCCCGTCAAAACAAGGCGCTGCACCGAGGGAAGGGGCTGATGGTCGGCGCCGGGGCCGCAGCGGGAGTAGGCGGCCGCCGGGCCGATTGCAGGATAAATATGCCATCTGCCGACTGTTGGCCGTCTGCAGACACGCTGATTTCAAACGATGTGAACGGTGATTCAGCCCATTGGAAGGCCATTCAGGAAGCGCAGTAACAACCGCAAACGGCACTGAAAACGTCGGCTTCGACAGGCTCGATCAACAACCCTATGGTTTGGACTGACATTATCACCGTGATGATCGAAGGAACAATGTCCCTAGTGTTTGAGGTATATGGCTAATGCTATTTTTCAATCACGCGCCTTTGATTCAGCACCCCGATTCACAGCCCAGTCATGTTCATGCCATTCTGCTAATTGGCTCGCCTCAGTCGTGTTTCGGTTGGGTTTTACGCGCGCTGGCCGTTGGGCGAACGCGCTGCCGCAGTCCGGTGACGCGTGCCACGCCCGTTTCAGTCGCTGGTGCACGTGCTGAAGCACCGTCAGACGCTGACGGAGCCCGAGGTGCGCTACTACATGCGTCAGCTGGCCGACGGCGCCGAGTACATCCACTCGCAGAGCATCGTGCACCGCGACCTCAAGCTGGGCAACATGTTTCTCTCGGACGACATGGTGGTCAAGGTCGGCGACTTCGGCCTGGCCACCCGCATCGCCGACGAGAAAAAACCGTGAGTGTACCCGCGCTGCGCTCTGTCTGGCCGCCGGCTACAGGGGGCTCACTCAAAACCGTGAGTGTACCCGCGCTGCGCTCTGTCCGGCCGCCGGCTACAGGGGGCTCACTCGTTTATCGGCAAGTGCTCCTGTCATCTATCGAGTGCCCGATGGTCGGTTTTTTGTTCGTGGCGCCCAGCGACCACTCGAATCGTGTTACCCAATACCCCGCGACTTGCTATTTCCCGTGCGGCCCAGGCTACTTATTAGGTTGGATTTAACGCCGTCTTCACTCGCTTATTATCCCTTGTGACCCCTTTGGCTATCGCCCGCTTTGGCCTCTTGACCTGCTGCTCTGTTCGGCATTGATGGTCTGGTATTTCCTGTCGTGTTTGCTATTGTCCAGCGGAGGCTGGTGGGCTGTTGCGCCACCGCCGAAGCCCCAGCCTGCGCCTCTCACCGCTTCATGTCCGTGCCCATCGCCCCGGTCTGCCGTCCCCCTCAGTAGTCTGACGAACGACCCTCCGGGGGAGACACCTAGTCTGACGAACGATCCTCTGGGGGAGACACCCGACCACGCTGTGTCCACACTAGTATAGTGTAGACACAGAAGCGAGCAGGACACGGCCAGGCAATCTACTGACGAGCAGGACACGGTCAGGCAGTCTACTGACGAGCAGGACACGGCCAGGCAGTCTACTGACGAGCAGGACACGGCCAGGCAGTCTGCTGACGAGCAAGACGCGGCCAGGCAGTCTACTGACGAGCAGGACACGGCCAGGCAGTCTACTGACGAGCAGGACACGACTAGGCAGTCTACTGATGCATTGGTGGTGCTCGTAAGGGCTGATCGGGTGCTCACCTCGGCGCCCCGTCGCGTCCCTCGGCGCTATGACCTGAGGTCACGGCCCCCGCCGTAGGGCCATGGCCAAGCTGGGCGGCTGGCGGCGGCCGGCGCCGGTCTTACGAGAGGCAGGCCAACGCTCCGCGCCCACAGTTCATTAGGATTGGCCGCGTGCGTGGGTTCTCAACAGCCAATACCCGCGCCGTCATAATGTTTCGCTCACGGTATTGGGCAGCGGGCAGCAAAAAGGCGGACGAACCTGGCGTGGTCGTGGCCCCTGTGCGGCCGACCGAAACTTGCTGCGTTGCGGTACGGACGGACGCTGTTAAGGGGGGGGGGGGGGCAGAGCGCTGAGCGTGGGAGCGCCATCACTGCTGGCGGTGGAGGAGGGAGGGAGCGCTGTATTGACGGGCCGCAGGATAGTTGGCTAATTTTCGGCCAGCTCGGCACACCGGGCTCCTCGGCCGGCGCTCTGTTTGTCGGGGAAGCTCTGTTGACAGGACTGGTTTGTGCCGTGCGCCAAGGCTGCGGTTTTTTTTGTCTCGCCACTGATGTCTGTCGGCCGTCACGCCTCCGGCACATTGGAATGAGGGTCCTGTCGGACGGGGTCGGGGCGCGGCTGAAGACGGAGGCGATCTTTGTTAGTTCGTGTTGGCGGTGTTTTCAAACACTGCGCGTCTCCACGGCGCTTTTAAACCCCGCTGCGAGAAGGCCTCGCGTCGGCGGCCTCGGCTTCGCGGCATATGTGGGTGATGCCACCGACCTTAGCGGTTACCCATTATTTCTACCACTGGATGTCGTAAGCATTCGTTTTTGTGTGCCGGCGTCAGTAATGGTCTCAGTGGTCACACGGAACAAGGTGCGGACCACATGCCATTGGTGACTGACTCCCGACTCTGTTGGCGTGGTTCGGAGACGTGCGTAGGACCGCCCGTTGATGGGACCGCCCGCAGCTGACCGTCGGCGCACTTAGCAAGCGCTGCCGTCATCATAGCATCGCGTGGTGCTGCAAGCGCTGCACGCCAGGATGCCGCCCATCGACCAGAGAGCGAGAGTCCATAGCTGAATGGAGCGCATTGTGGCGCGGCGTGTCCAACGCTGCGGCACGGTATGGACCTCAGCGCCCCGCCCCCGGCCGAGCTGCGGCCGCTGGCCTCGGCTGCAGCCGTGCCGAGCCCGGCCGAACTGGGTCGAACCATGTTCGGGCATCGTATGGCCGTTTGTAAGCGAAGCCCGGCGGTCGGTGGCGGGCGGGTCCCGGGGTGAGCGCGTCCACCCCGCCGGGACACCCGACCCGGCGCCGGCTGCGACCGTGCGCTGATCGCCGACCGCCAGCTGCTGACTTGGGACCCGTCCCGGCGCGGGGGCGGCATCGGCGCGTGGCGCGGCACGCGGCACTGAGTCACAGCCGGCACTCACTGCTCGAATGCTGGCAGACGTATGTGTAATTGCGTGATTGATGTCGTGCCTGGCGCCGGTGTGAGGAGGCGTCGGTCTGAGGCCCTGGCGTGGGCCGTAGAGTGGCCCCGGATGGGCTGGTGTAGGCCGTGGTGCCGTCTGACGCAGCTTGACACCAGCCGGTGCAGAGTGACTCCACCGAGTGACTCCACCCCATCGGACTGTCCCTAATCAACGACCTGCGGCAGCGACGCGTGGCTGCTGGAGCTGCTGCTGCTGGCGCCGGTGTCGCTTCCACAATATCCTGGTGTCAGCAAAGAGACGGTTGGGGCAGGTGAAACAGTCGGTGCGCGCACGGGTCGCCACAGCTGGGAGGGCCAGCCGCACGCAGGCGTCCGACACGTCTGGCCTTTGGCTCGGTACGACGGGCTGCAGGCCCCGCAGCCGTGCTGCGGTGCTGCCGCTGAAGGGGAGCGCTGGTGGGAGGGAGGGCGTGGCGGCGTTGGCGAGCTGTCACTGCCCGGCCGGACCGAGGCACGGCGGCGTCGCGTGGGAGGGCGCACGGTGAGCTAAGCCGGGCAGCGCCGGTCGCCGCCTCAGGCTCGCCCCCGCCGCCGGTTCACGGCAGGCGGCTGCCGGAGCGCGGCTGCCGCAGTCCGGCGACGGCAGCCATTGTCTGCCGGTGCCGTTTTCACGCCCGGCCGCCGGAGCATGCTCGGCCGCTGCGTGTGGCCCCACGGCTCGGTAGCCGCTGGCGCCGTTCGCTCTCCCGTTCACTGAGCTCCTCAAGCCGGCGGACACGTCACTGCCGGACGGACAGTACGAAACCGTCGCTACATTGTCATGCCGAGTCAGCGCGCTCGGCTGGGGTGGGGAATAGCTGACCAGAGCTCGTCCAAGTGACCCAGCCGCTGCCCCGCCGGCTGCCTACCGCCGGGCCCTATTAAGGGTCATCGATCATCGGCTGGCCCCTTCCGGCGCTGTGCGGGGAGCTGGCGGCGCCCCTGCACCCCCGATCAGCAGGCCTGGCCCCGGGCGCGGCCGGCGCTGAATTACAGGGTTCGCGGATATGGTGGGCATGGTGGCCTGTCGCAGTTCGGCCGTCCGATGACAAATCGTCAGCCGGCGCTCGGTCTCTCCGGTGCTCGGTCTCTTCGGCGCTCGGTCTCGCCGGCGCTCGGTCTCTCCGGCGCTCGGTCTCGCCGGCGCTCGGTCTCTCCGGCGCTCGGTCTCGCCGGCGCTCGGTCTCTGCGGCGCTCGGTCTCCCCGGCACTCGGTCTCGCCGGCGCTCGGTCTCTCCGGCGCTCGGTCTCGCCGGCGCTCGGTCTCTGCGGCGCTCGGTCTCTCCGGCGCTCGGTCTCGCCGGCGCTCGGTCTCTCCGGCGCTCGGTCTCGCCGGCGCTCGGTCTCTCCGGCGCTCGGTCTCCCCGGCACTCGGTCTCGCCGCCACCGCCGCTTTGTTTCCGCTCAGCCGCGGCGCCCCCCGCCTGGGCGACTGATTTAACGCCCTTGAGAGCGTTCGGCGCCAACGCAAAAAAGCCTGCGGCGCGAGCGGCCCTATTTTATTGACGCGTAAAAAGCGTTAAATAGGAGCGGGGTAGCGAACGTCGGCACTGCGTCGCACGCGGCGCTAATCCGCGGTGCGCGCCGAGCTTGTCGGCTGTCGCGTCGAGCGCGGCGCGCGGACGGCCCCTCGACGCGCCTGTCGTGTGGCGGCCGTGGGGTGAGTGGGGCGGCGCAGGGGTACGTCAGGCGCCGGGTCGGTGACCTGGGCGCAGCCGTCAGCCGGCGGCAGCGGCGAGAGTCCGGCTCTCAGGCCGCGTGATTGACGTCAGCGTCCGAGCGCTCAGTGAGCCGCCGGACCTTGCGGCCGCCGGCGGCGGGCTGTACGCCGGTGGCTGCCGGCGGCGCAGAGGCCGGACATGTCGCCTCGGCCACGCGCGATTCGCCTGGCGAACTGGCGACGGGAGGGGCTGCCGCGGTCGGTCGCCGTCGCCGGCGGGCCGGCCGCGCCGTCCTGGCTGCCCAGTGTGCCGCCGCCCGATAGCCGGCCCGATAATATGATTCCGGATTCCGGGCGGCGGGCGTGCGGCGGCTGGGACTCTGTGCGGCGGCTGGGTGGAGGGACGGTCCGTTAGTCGGTCGGGCGTGCCCGGCGTGCCCTGGGCCGGTCACGGCCGTCACGTCAGCCACCGCAAGGGTCAGGGGTCAGGTCGTGCCCCGCCGGACTCGACCGGTCACTCTGTGGGCTCGCGCTTCAGCATACCAGAACGGTGTGTCTCATCACGTGACCCGTCCTCTGTATCGTCATCGCTCGTTTCGTTCCCCTCAAACGGATCGACAGGTGACTGGTGGCCGGTGGCCGTTGATCCCGGCGCGGTCCGGCTCGCTCTCGGTTACCCGGCCAGTCGCCGGCCCGGTGACGGCCCCTGCGCGCCGGCTCGTCAGTGCCCGCGCCGTTTTTGTTGCGTCGGCGCGGCGGGCGACGCTCTAGGCACGTGACGGCCGCTGCCTGTGCTGCCTGTGCTGCCGATGCTGTCGATGCTGCCGGCGTTGTCTCCGTGCATGTGCCGGCGCAATTACTGCCGTCGGAGCACGGGTCACAGTGCCGTGTTGTGGCCGGGGGGGGGGAGGGGGGGGGGGGGACCGGCACGGGTCGCCAGCGCCCGTGCTGGCTCATCGGCCGGTTGTTACGTCGCCGCGCGGCCTGGTTCCATGGCCGGCTTTAGCAGTGACCCCGCGCGTCGCATGATCACCAGGTCGGCCAATGTCGGGGCGTAGTGTCCGCGCTGACGTCGATATCGGGTCGCGTCAGATCAGGTCAGATCAGGTCAGATGGGTCGGTGGGTGGTCGCCTCCTTGCCCGGCACTCCGGCCGCGGCGGAATGCGGCCCTTCCGGCCCGCCGCTGGGCGTGTTTTGTTCTGGAGCGGCGGCGGAGCCTGGCGCCGCCGTTCGGCGCTGCAAACATGTTTATCGGTCAGAGCGCGGGCTAATTGGCCAGTGATCGGCCGCAAAACTGTGAGCGCGCCGAGTGTTTCGGCGCGTTTCGGTGTCGTTCGGGGTGTTTCGGGGTATATCGGGGTGTTTCGGCGTATTTCGGGGTGTTTTGGGGTGTTCGGTAGCTGGGCGAGCCTCCGGCACTAGCCAGCGCCGAACCACTCGGACCGCGAGCCGGGTCCCCTGGCCCATGGCTTTTTCGAAGCCCCGCTGCCCAGCTCTCTGCGCGGTGCGACTCGGTCAGTACCCGGGCTCTGTCCCTGGCCAGATCGGCGCCGAGCCGTCCGGTTGGTCCAGTGGGGCTTGGTGGTCGGCCGGCGGACCCGGCACCGCCGCCCGGACACTCGGCCGCCCACCCCCCGGCGCTCGCCAGCCCGCCGGCGCCGCCGCCTCGACAAAGCTGTTGTCGCGCCGGCAAGCAGCGGCTGCCGGCGGCGGTTCCCATGGCGCCAGCAGCTTGTTAAACCCCCGCGTCATTATCCGCCGGCCGGCCGCGCCGTTTGCGCGTAGATGCTGACGTATTAGACCGAGCACCCCTTTGTTAATGGAAAGGGCGCTGGGCGGGATGGCGGCGGCGGCGGCGGTGATGGGGTGCATTCTTGTTGTCGCCGGCGTCCGGTCGCCTCTGGTCCCTGAACCCGGGCCGGCCAGCGGCAGCCGAGCGTGACGGCGCCGCGCCGCGCCGGCACCGCCGCCAGCGGGCGCCACTGGCCGTGCCGGCTGAGTTCGCCTGGGCAGTGACCGCGCCACGGGCCCCGCTCAGCTGACCTGCCCGGGCCCCAGGGCTGGCGCCAGCTGACCCGCGGCCACCCCGAACGGCGGAGCAGGCCTGTTGCCATCCGCAGACCTCGGCCTCATCTCCGGCCGTAACCGGGTCCGGATACCCACTGGAGGCCGTCCATTACGCCAGATTAATGGACTTAATTGATTAACGGATGACACGAGATTGTGCCAGTGGCCCCGTCCACTGGTGCCTGCTCCGATGGGTGTACACGCGACATGCGCCAACTAGAACCACCCAAACCTTCTCCCGCCCAAGCCTGTCGTGTCCTTAGCCGAAGTGAGCCGGACCAGAACGGGACGCGCCACTCGGGTCTGCTGCAGCTCAGTCCAATCGGTCCCCGGGCAGTGCGGATAGGAACAAGAACTGCGTTCGACTTGTCTGCCTGCTCTCGCCCATTTATGCCGCCGTTTATTACCTGATCTATCTGGCTCTCGCGGCCTCTCCTCGCGGCCATCCATTTGCCGCGGCGGTCCAGCCATTCCTCTCCCTGCGCGGCGCCGCGGGGCGGTCCAGCCATTCCTCTCCCTACGCGGCGCCGCGGGGCTGTCCAGCCACTCCTCTCCCTGCGCGGCGCCGCGGGGCTGTCCCGCCACTCCTCTCCCTGCGCGTCACCGCTGTTCCCGTCGGCAGCGGCGCCCTGCGCGTTGCCGCTGTTTCCATCGGGAGCGGCGCCCTGCGCGTTGCCGCTGTTTCCATCGGCAGCGGCGCCCTGCGCGTCGCCGCTGTTTCCGTCGGCAGCGGCGCCCTGCGCGTCGCCGCTGTTTCCGTCGGCAGCGGTGCCGCGCGGTTCGCCGCCAGTCGTGGCTCCTTCCCGGCGCGGCCCTCCTCGCCGTTTTCGTGTGCCACTAGTGGGAGCGGGTGGGTCAATAAACGCCACGATAATGGACGGCAGTGCGCCGGCGGTGATGGGAGCCAGCCTCAGAGAGCCGACCAAGCGTGCGCACGGCCGCAGATTAATGCACGCTACCGGCAGATATGTTTGTCATTGCCTGTTCGCGCCTGGCGACGTTTCCTCTCACAGGCGCGGGGTGGTTAAACGCAGCCGCGTGGCGCGCCATCGGCCGCGTGCCACGTTGGCTGGGGCTCCTCCCACGTCGAGCCGCACCGAATGATCCGGACCGGCCGTCTGCAGCGCGGAGCACCGACCCCAGAGCGGGACGTTAGCTCTGACACGTGCAACCACTCTGGTCTGAATTGACTCCAGCGGCTGTCTCTTTGGCGATAGTTGGCGCCAGTGCCGCGTCGCCCGCCGCTGTCAGCGTTGACAGCCGGCTCTGGACAGAGCGGTGGTGCACGTGCGGTCGGCACAAAGCGTCGGCGGCGGGCTGCCGACAGCCGGGCGTGAGTGTGCGACCTGCGCTGTCGCCCGCGCCGCTCCATGGCTCGGTCGAATTTTTACGGGCGCCGCGGCGCGCCTGGCCGCGCCGTTTAACCGTAATCGCGTGGGCGGTGTGACCAGGCGGACGCCTCGGGCTATTGATCGACGGCCAGCTGCATCGAGCGCGGCCGGCCGGGCCGTGCCGTGCGCGCTTCCGGCTGCCGGAGCCTGCGTGAGTGCCGGCCCGACCAACGGCTGAGAACGGCGGCCGAGCCATGCGGCGAACGGTGGGAGCCTTGCGGCGGCGGCGCTCGCTCCGTGGGAACGGCGGCCGTCCGGCGGTCCGGCTGGGCTGGTGCAGCGGCCGACGCCGCCCGCGGTCGCACCCAGTCGCCAAGGTTAGCGGCGACCGTTGTAGCAGGCCGGGCTGGCTGGCTGGCTGGCTGGCCGCCGGCGCCGAGCCTGTACGGCCCGCTGAACGGCCTCTGCGGCCGAGCTTATGGGCGCCACTGCTGGTGCACTGCGACCCGGTCAACCGGTGCTCGTAATCGCTCGGTCCGAACCGCGCCAATCCGTCTCGGCTCAGCCTAGCTCCCTGCCGGGCCCAGTGCGCCGACCGACGAAAGGGAATTGGGACGCTGTGCTGGCGCGGTCTGTCCCTTCTGAACTTCGGCCTGTGTCTCCTGACGTTCACCTGTCCCCTCTGACGTCCCGCTTGTCCCTCCAGACCCACCGCCCGTCCTTTCAGGCTGTCCTGACTCCCGCCCACCTCCTGATCTGCTCGCCCCGCCCTGCCGTCCCCGCCCAAGCCGTCTGCGGAGGCCAGCGCCGCTGTGCCGCGCCGTGCCGCCCTGATCGTCTGCGGAGGCCAGCGCTGCTGTGCCGCGCCGTGCTGCCCTGATCGTCTGCAGAGGCCAGCGCTGCTGTGTCGTGCCGTGCCGCCCTGATCGTCGCCGGCACGTCCGGTGGCCTGATCGTCAATCGTCGCTCTACTGACGTGCTGGTGCATTCCGTCGTTTCAGGACCATATGCGGCACGCCCAACTACATCGCTCCGGAAGTGCTGCAGAAGCTCGGCCACGGATACGAGGCCGACACCTGGGCCATGGGCTGCATCATGTAAGTGTCACGTGCCGGCGCCGTGACACGCGTGCCGTGCTCCTTTTTCGACGAATGTCGCATGGTCATGTGGTAACAGAGGAAGCGGGGTAGTCGTTGATGCTCTTCCATTTGGTGGTGAGCAGGGCCACTGCCGGCTCCGGAGCCGGCCGCACGCTCCGACCGTCCGGGCCATCAGCCCGCGGCCGGCGCCAGGGCGGCGCGCTGTCGCGCACACGCGCTGTCCGCGGCGCTTCGTGTTTGGAGGCAGAGGAGCGGAACCAGAGCCCAGACGGGGTCGCGAGCGGGAAGGGGCGCAGTCGTCCAGGAAGTCGGAAAGGGAGCGTTGGGCGGCGAAGCTACGTTTGAACTCGGCGGGTTGCGGCGTGCTGAGGCACAGGCTGCACGGGGCCGATCTAACCTCAGTCGAACATACAGAACAATGCCCTTGCGCACTGCCTACTGCGGGCACATTTTACAATGTTACATCATGCAAAACTCTTGTCTCATTTCACTAACATGATTGACAACGGTGAAAAGTTGCATCGTTGCAGGCGCCAGGATGGCCTGATGATCGCGAGTTATGGTTGTGGGATCGGGGCTGCCGCCGGGTTGCCAAAGGTTGGAAATTGTCGGGTTTGGCGATCGACGAAATCATTAGCCGTCCTGGTCTCCGACGTCGTAATAGGTGGCATGACCAACATTCCTACAAAATCAATTTGGCGAAACGAACGCAGCATGTATTTCAATGCGTCTGAAAACGCTGCCGCTGGACTGGGTGGGTGCCTGTCCGGTGCGGAGGCTTTGGACGTACCGCAGCCGTCAGAGGGGGCCGCCTCTCTCCTCTCACGCGCTGGCCGGCTGCCGTTCGTGACGGACCGGTGCTTCGTCTGCACGGGACCGGCCGGCTGGTCGGTCCGACTCATTCCGTGTGAAAAGCTGGCCCAAGGCTGTCGGCCATTGTGCCGGCCGGTCGGCTCGGCTGAGGGCGATCTGGGACGAGATTTTGGCGACATCTGCAGCGGCGGTGTCGCCACTGCACCGCCACATCCGGGAAGGAACGAAGGCCCGCCGGCCGCTGCAGACGCCCTGTACACCGCTGCCGCCGCTCCAGGGTGTCGCTGCAGGCCGGCACCAGCCTGTCGGGGTCGGCCGGCGCAGTTAGCAGCCGCGCCCTGGCAGTAGCAGCCGCGGGCCGCCTCCCGGCGGCGGCTCCCGTAGTCCGCGGCCGGGGTACGCAATTAGGAGGTGGGCACGTTTCCGGCGGGCCGCATCAGCGCTGCCGGTGGCGGTTGGTAGCCCGCGGCGGGACCATGTGGAACTGGTGCCCCGACGGTCGGTCTGCCGCGCCTCTAGTTAATAGCCATGTGGGAGCCCAAACGCTGCGCCCAATCACCGTCCGGTGGCGGCCAGACTTCAGCGGAGCGGGGTGGGGACGGGGGGGGGACGACTGTCCGGCGCGAGGACGATGATGGACTGCCCGGTGGAGGAGCCTGACTGTCCGGTTGGATGGCATTGACTGTCTGGTGAAGGAAGCCGACTGTCCGGTAGGGGAGGCCGACTGTCCGGTGGAGGGGGCCGACTGTCCGATGTGAGGGATGGCCGCCTGTCCGGTACAGGCAAGTCTGATTGCTCTGGAGGGGAGGGAGGACCGACAGGTAGTGCGTGACCCCGCTCGAATTCGGGCGCGACAGCCACTGACCCCGCTGGAGGGAGGGCACCGGACGCTGCGGTGCGCCGCCGGCTGCAGCCGGTCCGCTGCGCCGTGCCGCTCATCCCCGCCTTATCTGCGGCTGTGCAGTCGTGCCTCTTTGTTTGGGCCGCTGTGGTAATGTGGGCTGTAATTCAGCGGACGTGTCTGCATGAGACGGCCGACCGCCGGCAGACAGTGCCCCGCCATGTTCGGCTCCATCACGGCAGTTTCTCTCAGCGCGCTGGAAAGTCCCCATCGGCCTTGCAGGTGTCGTTGAATTGTTAGCCTCCGCCCTGAAAAGGCTCCCATAAGTCCTCTTCTGCTTAAGTTGGGCCGTTTGCTCCACGGGTAGCGTGGAACCCACTTCATGTGATAGATGTGCTTCATCTGCACGGCTGCTAAATGCCTCGTCACGGTGCTTGATGTACACACCGCTATCTGGCACTCGGTTAGCTGAGCCCCGAATCAATACAGCAAGGAGAAGATTCTCTCTTCGTTATCCTTTCCACTTCTGACTTCTGGCCTATCAGTCCCGGTGGGTCCCACATGATGGCACTCACTGGCGACGCGTAATCTGATAACGGAAGTGGGCCATGATTGTCTGACGTCGCGTGTCGCGCGCCCGCTTTTTGTGGATTACCTCATCTGACGCGGTGTGGCGGACCGCTGACTTGACGGCCGATCGTCCGACTGAGGCCGATCAACAGCATGCGGCGCGGCGCCTCGGACGCGGCCGCCGTCGCCGCTGGCTGGCTGAGCAATCCGATTTATCGCGTCTGACGTCGGTCGGCGGCCGTTTTTTCGTCGGCAGCCACTCCCCGTCGGTGGCGCGTGTTTGTCGTGCTGCGTTTTCGCCGCCTGAGGCGCCCGGCCGGGTCGCGTGACCTTCTGCGGCGCGGTAGCCGGCGACAGTGGCGCTCCGGCGCAGATCAGCCGTCACACTTGTAACCATCTTTCTGGTCTGATCGTTCGGCACAATCGGCCTGTCTGCGCGCGTGCGCTGTGCTTGGCGCGCGCCGCCGCCGCCGCCGCCGCTGGGCGTTGCGGCCAGCCAGCTGGGGATTGTTTTTATTTTCGTTGACTGCGGAACAAAGCCCAGCATTCTTTCCTAATCGATTCCGTTTTGCAAGGCTCGCATTGCGAGGGGCCGTAATCGTGCTGCCGACGGCAACAGTTTCCCTTGCACTCTTCCGTGACCGAGCTGCCCCGGTCTCTAGGCGTGACCGAGGTGGGATTAGGGAGCAGAAACTCTGCTACCAGCGAAAAACACCAGCCACTGCTGGTGCGCCGGACCCGCACATCTTTATTTCGTTTCCAATAAAGCGCCGCCAGCACCACGTCAGGTACACACACTAGCATGTGGCTTGGCTTCCTGTTGCCACGCCAACCTCAAACTGGGGTCCGTGTGAGACTCGCCGCCAGCTTTGGGGCAGAGGCCATGGCACCTCCTGCGCTGAATCTTAAGATCTACAACTTAGCGCCTCACGTGTGATGGCATTAAGTAGGACGTGGGGCAGAAAACTCTAGATGATAAACCTGGGTCAGGCCCTCGGACCGCCACAAGAATGTACCTTATTGGTTAGGCTGGGCATCCCTGGTATTTCACGTCGTCATCCAAAGTTGGTGGAAAACAGTTGGCTTCCACACCTTCCGTTGATCTTGCTGATATCAGCCGCTGCAAGTCTGGAAAGCCCAGCGAAATATGAGCTGTTTGATAATACCACCGCGATGAAGCTTTTCACGAGACCCCAAGGGCACCAGACATACGTTTCTGCAACCTGTTTTAGCCATGCTTGCACGGTGTTCGTGTGAACGCTAAAAGTTGTTTAGTTCTGATTGGGATGCATTCTTGCGTGTTCATCTCGGTGAAGTGCCATGGATGACGACTGGTCTACATAAGTTCAACCAGTCTACACTAGCACGCTCCTGTGAAGTGCTGACGCGTTGGCTGTGTTTGTGCCGGCGCTCAGTGGCCGCGTCGGCTGATGCCGTGCCCCCACCGCAGGTACGCCATGCTGGTGGGCCAGCCGCCGTTCGAGACAGAGACTCTCAACGAGACGTACAAGCGCATCACCAACAACCAGTACACGCTGCCGCCGCACCTGTCGGCGGCCGCATCGGACCTGATCGCGCGCCTGCTGCACCCGAGCCCTCGCATGCGCCCCACCACCGCCCAGATGCTGCAGCACCAGTTCTTCCACAGCGGGCCGCCGATGCAGACGCTGCCGTCCTCCTGTTGCACACACGCGCCCAAGCTGGCGTCGGCGGCGCCGCCGCGGCCCGCCTCTCAGGTGATGGAGCACATCGGCGCCCATGACGCCGGCGAGCCGCTGCCTGCTATCCGCCTGCCATCTAGCCGCAGCGAGGCGAAGCTCATGTCGCCTAAGTCGCCGGCGCGCGGCGCTGGCGGCGGCTCGACGGGCCGCCTCGTCCGCTCGCAGAGCGTCAAAGACAACAGCAAGCTGATGGACAAGGTGAGTGCGCAGCCCCGAGCCTCAATGTGTACGCCGTTTAGTTTATGTTTACCCCTACGAAGGATCAGGCGCGATGCAACGCAGTTTGTAGATGCTTAACAGGACAATCATTTTTGAGTTTCGCACTTTGATATTTCGTGCATGGGCTCCGGAAGCTTTGAGTTCACTGGCTGGCATTCATACCTACTTAATGCACACATTGCGAGATATGTACCGGCGCGTTCGCCCAGTGGCCTAAGATAGCTCCGGCGGCGGTATGCGAGAGGGGCGGCTTTGTATGCACCTGGCCAAGCCAGGCTGACCGACACGCAAGACCAGCACGCGATCTTAGCGCCATCTGAGGCCTCCGCTCGGGCGCTTCAGGTGAAGGAGAAGGAGACGTCGCTGCACGGCTCCATCCGGCAAAAGATCTCAAGCGTGTTCCGTCCGTCCTCCGACAAGAGGAAGGTCAAAGAGTGGACATCGGCCACGCTGTACAAAGCGCTCTCCGAGTGCCTTCTGGCCGTCCCAGAGGGTGAGTTATGTAGTCTTGCTCAGGCTGCGTATGCGCGGCACGCTATCGCGATGGCGGCGCGATCTATATTTTATTTGCAAAACCGGTTACAACAGAATTGACCGCAGTCAGATATGTCAAAGTCCCGCTCAAGTCCTCAGCAGCTTGTTGAGAAAGCAACCACTGTTTGGCTGTCACTACTATCCGCCATTTGTGTTGATACCTTGCACTGTCATTGATGGCCGCCGTTGATGTTGCCCGGTGACTGCCGTTGCTGGCCACCGCTGATGTTACCCGGTGACGCTGCCGTTGATGGCCGCCGTTGATGTTCCCCGGTGACGCCGAGCTGCCGGTTCGCGCCGCTCCCTGAGCTGGACCACGCGATGCTTCAGACTCCGACACCAACCCGGAGCCGGTGGTGCACTCGCCACTGTTCATCACCAAGTGGATCGACTACAGCAATAAGTACGGCTTTGGCTTCCAGCTGAGTGACAGGAGCGTCGGCGTGCTCTTCAACGACTCCACCAAAGTTTTATACCTGCAGGACAAGAGGTAGGCCTTGGGCGTGCGAGTATGGCCGCCTCTCACGGCCGGACCCTGACTGGAGCGCAGGCAGTGTGTGAGCGTGGCCGCCTCTCACGGCCGGACCCTGACTGGAGCACATGCAGTGTGTGAGCGTGGCCGCCTCTCACGGCCGGACCCTGACTGGAGCGCAGGCAGTGGCGCTGCACCGCAGCTGGCCGCTGGTAGCGATTGCTGTTCGCGCGGTGTAACGTGTATTATTGCTGTATGTTAAGTTGGAAAGCAGATTGCCACGAGGCTGAAACTCTCTTGGACATATGCAGCTTATATGACCTGAATTACTTCAAGCTACCAATGCAGCTTGTGTGCCGTTTCCTGCATGCCTGTATGCCTGCCTGCCGCCCGTGACCGGCCTCGTCCCGGCTATCGGTTGGCCCGTCTGACCGCGCCTCCGCGCCCTCCACAGCCGGGTGGACTTTGTGGGCCGGCACGGCCGCTCGTGCTCGTACGAGCCGTCCCAGGTGCCGGGCCTGCTGCGCGAGCGGTTCACGCTGCTGCGCTACTTCAGTCAGTACATGGACGAAAACCTGACGGAGGGCGGAGAGACGCGCGTGGCGGCGGCGGCCGCCGCCGGCCCGCCGTCGGTCGTGCCTGAGGTGCACATGCGCCGCTGGGTGCGCACGCACCGCGCCATCATCATGCAGCTGTCCAACGGCACGCTGCAGGTGGGTGAGAGGCCGACCGTCGGCCCGGCCGCGGCGGGTCGGGAGGGACGGGCGGCGGCTGGACACTGCGGCGGGCAGGGAGGGACGGGCGGTAGCTGGACACCGCGGCGGGCCGGGGAGGGGCGGGCGGCGGCTGGACACCGCGGCGGGCCGGGGAGGGGCGGGCGGCGGCTGGATACCGCGGCGGGTCGGGGAGGGACGGGCGGTAGCTGGACACCGCGGCGGGCCGGGGAGGGGCGGGCGGGAGCTGGACACCGCGGCGGGTCGGGAGGGACGGGCGGTGGCCGGACACCGCGGCGGGTCGGGAGGGGCGGGCGGCGGCTGGACACCGCGGCGGGTCGGGAGGGGCGGGCGGCGGATGGACACCGCGGCGGGTCGGGAAGGGACGGGCGGCGTCTGGACACCGCGGCGGGCCGGGGAGGGGCGGGCGGTGGATGGAGCACAGGGTCTTGGTTAGGACGCCGCGAGTTAAGGGTCGTGTGGTTTTGAGCTGGTTTGTGTTTGAGGTGAAGCGAATCCGTACACTTGACTGCTGTCTCAAACTCAAGTGACAGACAATAAATAAGTCGGAAATCAATATATGTGGGTAGACACGCTTGCATCAAATGAGTTTTGAAATTTAGGATACATATGAAGCGAATTAACAAGCTAACGTTTAGTGTGAAGCTAATTGTTCGGGAAAGGTCAATGTGTTAGTCGTTGAACGAAGTCGTATAGATGTGGACACTGCAATATAGTGCAGTGCCTGGCATTGGCATTGTGATGATAACGCTCGAAGTCGTGTAGATGTGCACACTGCAATATAGTGCAGTGCCTGGCATTGGCATCGTGGTGATAACGCCCGAAGTCGTGTAGATATGCACACTGTAATATGGTGCAGTGCCTGGCATCGGCATGGTGGTGATAACGCTCGAAGCCTCTTGGTGTTGTGCGATATTGTAACTTTATTGTCTTTTCGTGGTCCCTGCATCCTGCCATGCCTGTTATGGAGTGTGATCGTCCCTCCTCTGCCACAGATCAACTTCTTCAAAGACCACACGAAGGTAATCCTGTCTGCGAGCGGCAGCTCTGAGCTCACCGTCACCTACATCAACTCGGAGCGTCGCGCCGCCTCTTACCCACTGTCGGAGCTGGGCGCCGTCGGCTGCTGCCGCGCCCTCCGCGACCGGCTCGACTACGCCATGGTCGTGCTGCGCGACTTCTCCGACCTGGACGCCAAGGAGAAGTAGGGCCGCGGGGCCGGGGACGGCTCGCGCGGTGCTGGCAGAGGTGTTGGGCGGAAGGCCGCCAGTCCGGCGGGCTGGGGGCGACGTCGGCGCCGGAGCCACACGACCGAAACAAAGGATCTCGACCGGGACGGCGCGCGCCGCCACTGCCGCCGCCGCGAAGGGTGGCGCGCGGTAGGCGATAGCTCAAAGACAGGACGCTGGTGTGAGCGTGTGTACGGTCTCGGAATGTGCGTGCGTGTGCGTGGTCAGTGGATCGGACGCGAGCGGCGCTTCGTGGTCGAGCGCCAGCGCGGTGCGCTGCCGCTGTCCCCAGCGACCAGCGCTCCGCGAGCACAGTGGGGCCACGCCCGACCTCTTTCAGCCCACCCCAGGCGATTGTTCATAAAAGCTCACGTGGCCGTGATCCAGTTGTTGTTCTTCAGCGGAGTGATATTTAGTTCGAATTTATGCAGGTCTTTGTTACATTTCCCAAGCAATGAAGCGCGTGCCGTTCGTTTTGTTGCGACTCAGTGCTGTTCCTTTACTGATATCACCGTAGCCATTTCCTAGCCAAGACCAGGCAGCCCCGAAGATCTCGCTGTGACCGTTTGCCTCGGCACTGCCAGAGGAGGCGGGCTTGCTATGCCGGCGGAGTCTCTCCGCGCCGCCAGCAGTGCCGACGAGCGACCTCTGCCCTCCGCCTTCCCTCGACTCCGACCAACTACTGCTGGACTCTGCTCCTCTCCCATCGGCCATAAAGACACGCCACCGCCGGCCTCCTCGCGGCGGCACCGTCGGACGCGCACAGTTATGCGCATGCGCGGGCATTAACGAATCAAATTGGTCGACGCGTCGCGGACCCAGAATCGACGCCAACTGCCAAAGGTCGCCGTGTCGCCAGCCGCGGCGATCCTGTTCGTCTTTCATAGCCACGTGCGTGTCCGTTGTTACATAGTCGCAGCCGTGCGTTGCGTGTTTATCCACTGTATAATCGATAATAAAGTGAACCACTGAGCCTGCTGTCTGTTGGGGCCAGCTTGATGGTGTGGAGGTATACTAATAGTTCTGGGACCAATCTCGGGCGGTGCTTGTCTTTCGGATCATGCATTACTAGCATGCATCACATCACTAGTCCGTGGCACCAAGGTAAAAGTAAAAACGACATCAAATAAGCAAACGGAAAAGCGTACAACGCGCGCAACTAATGACAACAGTAGCGCATAAGATCTTGCAGAGCAGTCGACGGAGCTTCCGTCGAGCAGCTGTATCAGGCGGGAGTTAGCAGAACCACGGGCAGGGGAAGGGGGGCACAGGAGGCATGTGTGCCCTCCCCCCTTAGGTTCTACGATTAAGGGCTCGATTTGAGGGCCCGAGGGGCCCAAAGAGCTAGCCAGGAGTCTATTCAGTGGCCCCAGACCGCAGGGCCGGGCACTCAGATGCCAACCAGAGAGCTCTGCGCGCTGATAAGGGGCCCACTGAGCCATAAGAGCCTATATTTTGGTCAGACGCCACCAGTAACGCACAGTCGGCTCCGCGACGGCATGGACTTAAGCGTCCATTTCCCAGGCATGGACAAAGCCGGAGCCAGCGATTTACATTGCTCGGGGCCCCACAACGCCTAACAGGTGCCCTGAGTGGTCAAGGGTCTGAATCGGCCAGATGCAGTGTTCGAGGAGGCCCGAAGAGCCTTGGGGGGGGGGGGGGGGGCACCCGGTCCGACGATCGAGGGCCTGGTTGGAGGATCTAAAGGCATAAAGGGCTGCTCGTAGTCTTATTCAGTTGCTCAGACCTGCGAAGGCGGACCCTCAAATAACGGTCAGAGGGCCCTTTGCCCCGAAAGGGAACCCCTGAGTCGATATGAGCCTATATGTAGGTCAGGGACCACCGTACCTCATGGTCGGCTCCCCGTCGGCAGTGGGCCGGGGGTCGGGGGTCCTGTATGTCAGAGGCCCACAGCGCCTAGCAGATGGGCTCGGGGCCCTTGTGAGCACAAGGCGCAGGGCACAGGGGTTTGATAAGGCCCGAAATGGGGCCTGGGCGGCCCACAGGAACCGACTATCAAAGACCCGGTTGGAGGGCATACGAGCCCAAAAGACTGACTGAAAGCATCTCCTGCACCGATAGGGACTCCTGAGACAGAGCGTGCCTCTATTTCGGCCAGAGATCATGAACAACTAACAGTGAGCTTCGTATTGGTCTGAGCTTTACGAGCCCATTCCCCAAGCAGGGACAAGGCCAGACCCGCAATTTACATAGGTCGGGCTCCTGTATCGCTCAGGGACCCAAAGTGCCTAACAGGACATTGTGTTAACAAGGAATCTCGAATCGGTCGGAGAAGATTTGTTCAATAGGGACGGGGGCGGTAGCCCAAATGGCAGAAGGTCTCCTGCGTTGGTCGGGGCCCTCTGGCAATTGAAGGAAACAAAAACTTATGATGAGTGCTCATATTGAGGTACTACAAGAGTCCCGTGCCAGTCAGGGCCGCCACTACCGAACGGTGGGCACCCCATTCCTATTCGAGCATGGGCCCGTTAAGCCCAACTGGGGTCTATGTGCCAGTTACTTGACCAACTGCGGTGAGCAGGAATGTTGTTGCGTTAACGACGGTTCATGCGCAAATCCGGGATCAACTGCGCGGGTCAGAAGGCCGCCTGCCGCTTCAGGGAGCGGACCAATGTAATATGATGTAAGGGCCTAAGGGCCTTCGGATCGGCCAGAGGATGCCGCCCCGCATCACCAGAATGTCGTCCAGAAAACACACCGCGGTGGGACAGAATGGGCCTTCACCTCTTGACTGGGGAAAAAAACAACGTGTCCCGTAGTGTTGCACTCAAGGGTGTTCCTTTACCGGAAAGACACAGGGGGGGGGGGGGGGGGGGGGAGGAAGAAAAATTAGTGCCGAATGGAATGGGTCGAAATGGGTTCAAAACGCACAAAAAAGACCATCCCGCGTTTCCATGGGAACGTGCATTCTTTTCCAGAATCGACGAGCGAAACAAATAAAATCAAAACGTTGGAACCCGCACGCCGAGTGCCGATAGTGTAGTGGTTCACGCGCCTGCGTTAACCGCTGCGCGTCTGGGAAACCGACACTGCGCGGCGCACGGAATTTGCGCCACTATCAGTTCCGATGGAATGTTGAAGATATCCAGACAAAAATGTCCTGGCTATGTTAATGTAAATTGTTGACCCATTTTGATCATTCATCTGTATTCTTGGGAACCTTGCTATTGCTGTACATTGCAGATGAAATTCTGGCAAGGTTTCTAAGTTTTATCGGTTTAAGGAGTCCGCTGGGCCATTATGAACTGGAGCGATTGATGGGAAGGCCGGTGGTTCATTTCACGCAGTGATTTAACTCGTGAATTTGTCGGTTTATTAACAGCAAACTTAAGGCAGATTTAACTCGCGGTAGCGTCTGGTCCATGCTTCGGTTATTAAAGGTAAAATGTATGTTTCATAAATATATGCACATTTATATATATATATATATATATATATATATATATATATATATATATATATATATAAACACACACACACACACACACACATATATATATATATATATATATATATATATATATATATATATATATATATATATATATATATATATATATCTCTCTCTCTCTCTCTCTCTCTCTCTCTCTCTCTCTCTCTCTCTCTCTCTTATCTAGATACGCACTATCGCCGGAGACCCAGCCCGAAGGCTCCACTGCTGACAAATGGCCCGTAACGATCGCAGGTCTGTGTTAGTCGCCTGCCAAGATAAACACAGCAAAAAGGCATCTGGCGCGTGCAGTATCGCCAGGGTGCGGTATCAGCTGCGCTGGTGTGTCGTGTCACCGGCCGTTAGCAGCGCGCGCTCAGAGGGCCGCCAGGCCCGTCCGTGTCATATGGCCGCCAGCTGTGGATCAGCGCGGCCCAGGCGGCAGCCGACCTCCGCACGCGGTCACTGACCCCAGCTCGGGACCGCAGCTGCAGCACGGCTCGGCTCGGCACATTTCTGCACCCGTCGCTGCCGGGTCACGGCGACAGCACCACTGACTGCTAGCGGGTGACGGTCCACCGTCGATGGGCGCACTCCTCCAGCGCACAGACAGAAAACAGATACAGAGCACGGTGGACTGTTACCGTATAGGGTAGGTAATTTGAAGACAATATAGACAAAATAAACTAAAATAGGCAAAAGTCAGTTCGCTCAAAAGGCCATTGGATTCCAGCACATATCTCCTCGACGAAAGGCGCACAAGAATCAGCCCCACGAGAACACTTGTGCTTGACCCGAGTCCTACCTGCGACGGATACTCTTCGGAGATCAGACTTCAATCCATTACAGTGCGTCCCATCGCGCAACGCGCGTGTGATGGGGGCTCATTCGCAACGCTGACCTAAAAACGCGCATCGTCACACAGCTGAGCCGTGCTTTGGCCATTCTAATTCGCTCCTTGAGGTGGGACTCTCACTAACCTGAAGGAGGATAGGCCATTGAAAAAATTGCTGCCTTTTTAAAACTATGACACACGCCCCGTCTGCCTACTTTTAAAATGTTCAGCAAGCACCGCTGTGAGTTTTGGACAATAGCACAGTCATGGTCCGTTCCGAAACCGACTACAAAGACGTCAAGTCAAGCAGACTTCACTCATGACAATGTATTTCCCAGCGTCCTCAACAACATAAACCGATCCGTCCCATAGGCAATGACAACATCGGATGCATTCCACTAGCGACACGTACCCATCCCATTCTGCTTAGCGCGGATACCAAAAGCCTTCTAGGCCACTGTTTACGTCACTAGGGCGAAGCCCGTCACGCGTCCGTCACACTACACTCCAGCTCCGCCTCCAACAGCTGACTGACCGCCTCCGCGAACCGCTCCTCGTCCGCCGGCTCCGTGTTTAGGTCCACCTCGCCGGCGCGCGCGCGACGCAGCAGCCGCTGCCGCGCCGCGTTTGCCGTGCGCGCGCGCTCGCCGCAGCCGGCGGCGCGCTGGCGCACCATCTGGCGCAGCTGTCGGTCCAGCTGGTGCAGCTGGCTTGTGGAGCAGCGCCGCCGAGACTCGGCCGCCTCCAGGCTGTTGTCGACGAGCGGCGCGGCCGGCGTCCGCAGCGCGGCCGCCAGCAGGGCGACCACGGCCGGCAGCGGGTCGGCGTCGGCCGGCAGCGTCACGCTGCGAGCCTCCCAGAGGCGCGCCGGCTGCGGCCGCTCCAGCCGTCCCGCCATCGCATCGATGGCCGCCTCGGGCACAGGTCGGCAACGCGTGGCGTTCCGGCGGCGGCACTCGGCGTCCGGCGTCGCCAGCAGCGCCTGCGCGAAGCCCAGCCGCAGTCGGCGCGCCAGCTGGAAGAAGCGGTAGCGCATGCTGCGCAGGTACATGTTGTCGTCAATGATGAGGACGGCCGGCCGCCCTGCCGGCCGGCCGGCAGGGCGAGCCACCGGCTGGCGGAGCACGGCCGGCAGCGTGTCAGCCGGCACCTCGCCGCCAGTCAGCATCGCCTCCACGGCCGCTTCGAGCGCGCGGCGCGCGGCGCGCCAGGCGTCGTCGTCGTCGCCGGCAGCACGCGCCGCCTGCAGCCGCACCTGCTCCTCCAGATCGATGACCGCGTCGTACTCGACGTGGACCAGGTGATAGATGTCGGCCAGCTGGGCGCACAGTCGGCCAGCCAGCGTCGTCTTGCCGCTGCCAGGCAGGCCGATTAGGATCAGCAGGCAGGCCGACATCACGCTTGGCAGTCGCCGGTACACGGCTGCGGATCGTCGTACGGTGCCTCCACCGAACGAACGACTCCAGGGCGCACCGCCGGCGTGCAGCCCGGTCTGACCTCTTGCCCCGCTCACCAGGGACCCGGCGGACACACCGAGGCCGAGCGTGTTCAACGCGCTGTCCGATCACCGCGCCCTATGTCGACGCGGCAGCGACGGCGGATGACACAAAGGAGGCGCCACTAGCTCTCGACGCCGGGGCAGGGCGGCGCCTTTGGCGGCGCCGCCTCGACGGTGCCGTCAGCGCCGATGCGCGTCACCTTCTCGCCGCGCCGCGCCAGGATCTCCTCCACAGTGCGGCCCTGCACGTCAGCAAACCAGCCCAGATGATCGGAGATCAGGTGTCGGTTCCGACAGCCCGAACACTCGACGATCACCACGCCGCGCTCGTACGACAACTTCGAAATATGCTTGTGCACGCGCGTGCTGCACACCTTGCAGGTGAAGGAGAGCGCCAGCCGCGGCTGCAGGCGCGCCAGCGGCTGGCTGGGCGGCGTCGCGTGACAGAGGCGTGTCGGAGCCGACAGGCCGGCACGCGGCAGGACGGCGGCCGGCACCGGACCCGTCAGGCACCGGCGGACGGACGGGGCGGAGACGGCGGCGGCGGCGCGCAAAGATCGTAGCAACATCACAGTTCGGGCTGGTCGGGTGGCAGCGGTCCTACCCCCGGGCAGGCGTTTTAGTCCGAGAATGCAGCTGGAGTAATAATTCACTTTCTCTGGAATCACAGTTCCACATCTGCCTGGGATCACAGCTCAGTCTGTATGGCTGGGATCACAGGATCACTGGGCTGGGCTGGACTCAGCAGCTGCCAGCTTGGCCTGTGCCTCAGCAGCATCCTTCTCCATCTTTTCCACACGCTTGGCCACAACCTGTGGCTGCACCTCCATAAACACTGTCATTATCTTCTGATTTGAGTTGACATGCTTGTCAGCACAGTGTTGAACACACATTAGCTGAAAGAAAATAAAGCATGACCAAGATTGCCAAACCTTCGGCAGACAATAAATAATGCACTACATCAATGATTCAATGATAGGATCTTCAGTACTACCATGTTATCATAGTGTAATGGTGACAAAATCTGCTGTTGCAAAGGAATTGTTTCAAAACCAGATGTCAAAAGGGAAGTGTGCAGTAAAACAACACATGTTCACTCACACTTGAGGCTCATTCACATGCATGGTGACAACATATTATTCAATGAACAACATCACAGTGAGAATGAAAGAAATGCATCCTATGAACCCAAATCAGTCACAACCCCTAACATTTCACTGAATATCACAAGGCACTTTAATCCACAGTTCAGAATTTCCAGCAAACACACAGCCCAATAACAGAGCTGAATCCATCCTACATGCTACAAACAGCTACACAAACCATCAACCTTCACTTAGGGTTCACAAACATTGCACCAATATTTGACAAAAGTCAGTAAATGGATCCAGCTGGTGACCCATTAATGGTGTCAGGGTGACACTCCCTACAGCATACTAACCCAACACTAGTAGATTTGACAAACCACAACCAACACATCAAACAAATATAGTCCTGTTCTACACAAAACAAATATTACTTTGCCATCATTAGATTGCAAGAGCATTACACAATTCAGGAAAGGAAGAGACAGCTGCTATCAACCCCAAATTTTCAAAGACTACAGGTTCTTTCAAGCAGGTCAACATCAAAACATAGCTATTTCAAAAAAACAAACACACACCACATATCTACACATAGTTATACAAGAAATTATATCCCTGTTATACCCCTCGGCACATCATACTTTGATAGCTGCCATACCACAACTACATCCCCAAGTACAAACCAGTCATAACTATACCAAAATAGTCCACATGCAGGGCTTAATGAGGTCAGGCATGATAAAGCAAACACTTGCCCATGACCTACCTCATCTTCCTGAATATCCCTTTCAAGCAGACTACTTATACACTGAGTAAAACATGTTTCTGATATACGGTTGTACATCTGCAGGAAGTCTCTCAGCTGTGAAGGGAAGAAGTTCATGAGATGTTGGACACATATCATTCCTCAGATGCACACCTGCTAGTTAATAACATATTTGTGTAACACAAAATTGAATAAACACATCTATGAAACAGTTAATAATGACCATAAAACATAAAACTGTCAAACCTGTACTCTGTGGATGCATGTCATGGTCAAAAACATGGCCATGGGTGGCAAGGAACCCCCACAGAGGCTACCCTGCCCCAGGGCCTAGAGGTTTAACTAGACACTGGATAACTTTGCAGGAATTTACTGCATTTCCAGATCCAGAGTTCAAGGAAATTTGACACTCAGCCTATAATGATGAAAACTCTGGATGTGTGTGGCTCAAATCCTTAGAAGACTGGTTAACTTAACACACTTAAATCAGATGGGACCATGAAGGTAGCAGCAATACTGATGTTCTGATTAACTTCATAATACATTTCAAAAAACATCAAACATCTATTGCTAAGCCCAAAAATCAATGAAACAAACATCAGACTACAAAATGAAAAATGATCCTGATAACTATTGGTTTGCTATCTTTGCCCGCATTCACACTGGTACTGGAAATCCACATCTCACGGAGTCTGCTGACGTACGTTCCGCAAGTTTTGTGCCTCCATCACGTAAAACTGTGTCAACCCCTTATCTTCCACGAATCTTCGTCGTCTCACGCCTACGACACTGCAGGCATTCTGTCATCGTTCCATATCAACCCAAGAAAGTTTCACCGGTCTACACTAAGTGCAATGGCGGGAAAAATAATGGAGAATAGCGCCAACCAAGCAGCAGCACCGTCACGTCCAATGTGACACATTCACATCACGTCATCAAAACGCCCCACTTCGCAGGGTTTTCTGCGCTATATATGCCGCAAATTGTTGAAACGTGATTAAGGGCAAATCAGCACCAAAAAGATGTCATTACCACCAAAGGGCCAAGGTTACTCTGAGGGCTCGCTCGGCCGAGGGGAAATTATTCAACGAATAATTATCCCTCCGATAATCATCCGCAGATCTACAGCCAACGGTCACAGTTATGCATAGCAAAAACAGATTCTAAAGAAACATGATTTGGCCTAATTGTGATCCCAATATGGTTTAAAGCTCCTTAATCAATGCAAGCCATCAAACACTTGACTGAAGTTTTTTTCTAATTTTGGTTTGTCTCCGACTTGCATACAAGCTTTACTTCGACAAATTTATTCAAACGGCGCTTTTCCGGTTTCATTTCCGGACCCGAATGCATATTCCTGGGTATGTATTGCGGTTATGTTGAGCATCACAATTTCGTCATGCAGAAAAGGAGAAACATAAATTAGTATCATGGGGATATTCACGAAATACCAAACACATAGCACATCCTTCAAAATATATAGCAAGCGATAGTGGAAGTTTGAAGCATGTTTTTGTCATTGGCCTTGCCGTGTTCCTTAGAATTTCCATGTGACCAGACAATTAGTTTAAAAGTGGAACTGGGTGTTACGAGGGAGGTCATGTCTGTATGCTCTATGTTATCGGTATATAGCATCCCAGCACATTTTACAAGAATAGATACGATGCCGACATTCCCGGTGGTATATATTTGCACCAATTCAATCATGCAAGCATTTCATGGGCTCGCCATTTTCTGATAAAGCAGTGCGTATACACCCTCCAAAACGGAGGGCGGTTACGCACCGGGCCTATGCACCCTCCAAAACAGAGGGCGGTTACGCACCGGGCTTATACACCCTCCAAGAATCTTTCAGATGGTTGTACGTGTCGTGCATACGCGGATTGGCAGCCTTGGAGGCAAGATAGTGCAAAAATGCAGAATCTCGGTAAAAGGTGGGCTCAATGAGTGATAGACATCAAACGATCACTGTCGTGCTGTAGCGCAGCGAATTACGGCAGTGTTTCGCCATGCTCCGCTGCGCCGTTTGAAATTATAACCAACTCACGAGCGGATTGCGACGCACCAAGCCACGTGTGTCGCATCGTGCCTGAAAGCATGTCCAGCCAACTCCCATCGTCCTGCACTGAGCGCGCATGCAAAGATCAAACGACTGAGTGTGCCCAAGCAGGCCATTGGATGCGCCCGCGACAAGAGTGTAGGACCCTAAGCAAGTGACAGAGAATTGGAAACACCCTAGACCAATGTAGAGGAGTGTAGGTATATATTTGTACCTAACGTTAGAAAAAATCACTGTACATCATTCGTCGTGTTCAAGGCGGAACATATCGTAAATAATCTTAAAACAGGTAAATTCCTGCTCCTACCTTCGGATTTTAATAACTACGATCGCGAGCTCCCGAGCGCCTCACACACACCACCGTCTCAACTCCCCAGGGCCGTTTCTGCGTGATCGTCGCGTAATACAATATTTCTGCTTGTCAAGAACCATAAAAAATGTACGGGACCAAGTGAACAATAACAATGCAATGAAATGCGTTTCTTATCGCGTCTAGGTACGTTTATGAAACGGACAGGCCAAAATAGTCCAGAACATAGCCTAAACTAGCCTAACCTAATCTAACCTAACCTAACCTAACCTAACCTAACCTAACCTAACCTAACTAGCCCAAGGTAGCCTGGCTTAGCCTAACCTAACCTAGCCTAGCCTAGCAGCCCAACATAACCTAACCTAACCTAACCTAACCTAACCTAACCTAACCTAACCTAACCCAACCCCCCACCCCATCCCCTTCAACCCAGTGTCCCATCGGCATCCATGCTCCATGCCACATATATGTACCGTATTAGGAAGTTTTGTTTAGCCCCCATACTCTCATTTTGCTTTTCATTCCCACCCAAAAACGTCATATTTCCCCACCGTGTCGACCAATCTACAAACACTACGTAAAACTGCTTGGATACGCGGGGAACACATTTCATTGGATTCTTGTTACCTTGGCCTCGTACATTTTTATGGTTCTTGATGCGCAGTAAGGTTGTAATCACGCGGTAATGTTGCGATCACGCGTAGAAATGGCGCCGGGGTCGCGGTTGCTGCCTGTGTGCGCTCGGATGTTCGCTATCGTGTTTATTTAAGTTCCAAGGTAAGAGTTTAGATGACCTGTTTCACGATTAATTACGATATGCTCTGCCTTAAAAACGACGATTGATGTACAATGGTCTTTTTCAACATGAGGTAGCAATGTATACCCTGACCTGTAGAGGGCCCATGGGCATATCGCAAGTGTGTCGGTAGGTCAGCCGATGCCCACGTAAAGGGCCCCTGAGCAACCGAGAATACCCTGGCAGGTTAAGTTATGAGACTCTGGCTACCGCTCACAGGGCCTTTCTGGCGAATGGAAATGATCCGTGGAATGGCCCGTGATTGACAGGAATTCCCCGGCACACAAACAGGAAGGGTCCCAACAACAGCGCAGGGCCCTCTGAGCAAATGCAAAGAAATGAAGGACAACGTGGAATGCTCCTAAACGACGGAAATGAACCTGCAAGGGACATATAGGTTCCCCGGAAACAACATGGGTCCCTAGAGGGTGTAATGGGGCTTAAAATTTCCATTCCACAACTTTTCCAATCATTGAGTAGTTTTTGGGACTTCTGGGCCCTTCTGGGACTTCATGGGCCCTTCACTTTTGCTTACAACTTCTTGGTGGTCTGCAAATCCAGAGATACCCAGTTTTGTTGCGTTTTGTGTTAAAAAACCACCTGTTCGGCCGGCTATCGGCCCCGGGAGCCAAAGGGCCCGTTTGGGGCCCAAGGGGGGGGGGGGGGGTCGTAGCCCCCCTCTCTGGATCCGCCTCTGCTTGTTACCATACGTTTTGGGGATCCTTTTGTTGTTTTCCACTTTTTTGCCCGTCCCCCGAACTCAGTTTGCCCTTGATGTCGGACTGTCGTGGGGAGAAAGTGATTGATCCTAAGCCTGAAGTGTCATTTAGGCGACCACGACGAAAACTCAAATGGGAGCACCGTAAATCCGACATGGGACCCGAAGGACTGGCTAAAGGTCAGTGAAGGGGCGCAGATAGCACCCTCAAATACCAGCCAGAGGGGCCCCGGGGCACCGATCGGGCCCGAGTCTGGGCCTGTGAGCCCATTTCCCAAGCAGGGACGAGGTCAGGACCCGCGATTTACATTGGTCAGTGCACCCCGAGCCAATGAGGGGCCCCTGTGTCGGCCAGGGGCACACAGCGCCTAACCGGAGGTCAGGTGTTGACAAGGGCCCCCGAGTTGGTCAGGGAATGTACGAGGGCGCCTGAAGATGGACCGATGTGGCCTTCAAGACTGACGATAAACGGGCCGATGGAAAGGCTGAATGGCCGTAAGGGTCGAAAGGCTGCAGGTCATCCTGGCCCGTATGGCTGTGATCCCAAATGCCAATCAATATGCCTCTTTCGCCGATTGTGGACCCCTGGGATAGTGCGGGCACATCTTTCGGCCGGAGACTACTGCACCGAATAACTGACTCCGTGTTATTATGAGGCCTGGGGCCCCATTTCTCTAGCAGGAACGAGACCGAGGCCCGCGATTTGCGTCGCCCGGAGTCCCTATAACAATGAGTGGTCTTTTGACGGTCAGGCCTCCAGTGTCCAGCAGGGGGTCCTGTGACGGAAGGAGTCCCGAGACGGCCCGAGGTGACCCGGGGTCCTTGCGGGGCCCTTCACCCCGTTTTAGCCAAGGATCCGTTGGCCAAACATGGGTCTCTGTGCGAGTTATTGGATCACCTGCGGTTATCAGAGATCTTGCTGTCCCAATGAGCGCTCTTGCGCCTATTCCGGGTCAAATGCGCCGGCCAGAAGCCGTAAAGGGCCTTCCGCGCCAGGGAGGTCACCAGTGTAGAACATACTTCTGTGAGGGCCTCCGGATGAACCCATCAGGCGAACCCGCCTCCATGTTGCCAGAATGGCAGCTGGTAGACACCCCGGGCTGGGACGAAATGGTCTTTAAGCAATCGCCCGGAAGGGTCGTGTGCGCCTAACTTTTCACTAATGTTTACACATTTTACACATTACATTACACATTTTCAATTAATGTTTACACAAGTTGCTGGCCTCATTTAGTTTTAAGGTCAACCTTTACGGGATCCTCAATGCCTCTGTGGGGTGTGGACTCCCTTCCCCTGGAGGGACGGAGTCCTCTTTATGTCCATTCCTACCTCTGGCGTTAGAAACTACGCTGCTGTCTGGTATGACAAGCCCAAATTAGAATTCACTCCGCTTAGAACTGAAGCAAGCTGGCATCATCACACCACACCGATAGACCATGAAGCCACCCACTTAACATCGGCCATCGCCGATATTCGAACCCGGGCTTACCGCGTGCGAGACCAGCATGCTAATCATCTATACACTTGAGATGCGTGCCCGGCGGCCAAACATTTGTGATTAGAATAGGACTTGTTCTAGGTGAGTTAATAGATTTCGTGATCGTTTGATGCCTATCACACATAGAGCCGACTTTTGGCACGGGATTCTGCATATTTGCACTTGCCTCCCTCTAAAACTGGCAATCCGCGTATGCTTGACACGCACAACCATCTGAAAGATTTTTGGAGGGTGTATAGGTCCGGTGCGTAGTCACCATCCATTTTGGAAGGTGTATAAGCCCGGTGCGTAGCCACCTTCCATTTTGGAGGGTGTGTAAGCCCGGCGCGTAGCCACCCGCTGTTTTGGAGGGTGTATAAGCCCGGTGCGTAACCGCCCTCCGTTTTGGAGGGTGTATACGCGCAGCCTTCTGATAATTGGTGTTAGCAGGGCTTATTTTAGTACCTTGGAGCCCGCATAAATAGGACAACCTTAATTCGACTGAATTATGCGTTCCGATGCATGGTGCTGGTCCGCGATCTGGGCAGAGGGACGGGTGGGGGAGGATCGAGAGCCGGGCCGTCCAGCGTACCTGAAACGAACGGGATTTTAGCGAGTAAGGTAGGGTAAAAGTGATTCTGTGTGATCTTATTATGTTTCTTACTTTGCTTTTGTATGCGGCAGTGTAGCCGGTTTCGTTGTAACCATCACTGACCAGGGGCTACATTGCCGTCGCGAACCAAACCATTATAATTGGAAATATTACCGAGTGTCTACCGCAAATAATGCTGTGTCGGCCCCGCAAGCCATGGTAAGGCATGACATGGCTTGTTTGTTTAGAGATTGTTGCGGCAGACACTTGTATTTGGAAAATGAGAAACACTCAGTTCTTGATATTTAAGTTTTTGTTTGTAGATGTGGCCGGGCACTTGCCATTCGGGTGTGCCAATATGCGAAGTTCGTCTTGTAAATAGGGGCAGTGGATAGGCTGGACAATGTTGAAGGTTATGCAAATGTTAAAACTGATCTGTCAGGCTATTTTATATTGTGTCAAATGGTTCTATTTCATTGGCTTCATGCAGTTTACACCCACTTCCACAGGTCATTTTCTTTTATGTCTGGTGCATATTTCCTGGTGGACAGGTCTTCTTCCTAGGTGCAAGGTTTTGCAGAACAGCTTCTTGTTTTATTGGCATCAAGCAGACCAGATCAAGATACAAATGCATAGTTTTGAAACAAGAAAATTTGATTTTGCTTTATAGATATAAAACACTGCAAATATGTCAAAAATGTCATTTGGGAAAGACACACACTTTTAATTAAACAAGAAATACAGATGGCTCAGTTGTATCTCACATTAAGCACCTCACCCATGTCATGTGCTCCTTTGTTATAAGACCTGTAATCACAGGCAATTGTTTTTTTCTGTTGCTGACTGCCTTTTTGTTATTTTCAAAGCACTTGTTATTAAGAAGTATATTCCATAACTCTGCATGTTGATGTATCAGTAGAAATATACCAAAGCATTAACTATAAAGGTTATCATGAAATCTAGACATGACAAATTATCCTGTATAATTTATATTCTCTGGATGGGTCTTGCATCCCATGTTCACTTATACCTCCCTGCAGAAATTTACCAAAACCAAGCCAATGCACTGCACAGCTTTGGTGTCTGGTATCAGTTGCACTGGTAATTGTTTTGGTAACATGGATACTATACATGCCATGCCTATGATTGTGGGTTAACACCATACAATCATAGTTTTTGGCTACACAGTGAAGGTAGATGGGATTGATCAAAGCATTTGCAAATTGTATTTTGAAACATGAAACCAGGAGGCCTGGATCTGAAGAGAAACTAGGGGTTTTGTTGATGTAAGATTCCTGGCATGCTCCAAACATGCGGTGAATGATATAAAGTGCACCTTCCTATTGATATGCACAATGTGTTTGCCTATGACTCATGAAGTGTTTCCTAGGGAGTTTCAGGTTTGAAACTGGAGTTTTGAGAGAATTGCCATATGGGCACCTGTTTTTGTTCTGATGAGCTGGGACACCATATGTGTTATTTATGGGGGGGGGGGGGGGAGGAGGGGGTTAAGTTGGCATCAAGGTGATAATAATTATGTTGACAGCATCAAAGTAAAAATGTTCATGTCAACAAGATCAGAATTGTTCAGTAAAACAAATGTAGAGTTTCCTCATAATTTGACTGTCATTGGCCTTTTAGCTCTCCACCCAGAGCTGTCACAGTGAAGGAGGGGGGGGGGGGGGGGTACCGCAAGTCAGCCCACCCAGCATCCAAAGAAGGTACACCCTGTTAGATTGGCTCAAACCAGGGTATTTTTTGAAGAGGGGGTACTTTTTGGAGGAAAAGAATGATGAGTGGAATTAATGGTGCCAAAACAGACTGCCAAATGTGGACAAGTCAGAATAGTGGTCACTTTTGGCATGGTAAGTGTAGCAGATGTTGAGTCGGCGCTAGGCGCCGCCGCCGAGGCGCGGCTTCCCCAGAATTTGCGGCGCCAGGAGATGCTATCATAGATCGGAGCACGCTTTTGCCATTGCACCACCCAATTACATGCTCTAAGCTGGACTATGCATGTTTTAATTATGACAATGCGTGTGAATCTACCAAACTCATCATTGACACCATCCATCACACTGCTATATGTGCCATCACAGGGGCGTTCCATACATTTCCTACTCAAAGCCTCTTCGTAGAATCGTGCCAGCCACCCTCGTCAGCAAGGAGGAAAATGTTCGGTACGCGTTATGCACTAAAGCTGTGACAGTTTCCGTCACATCTGGCATATAACGCGGTTTTTTCGCGGCCTGCTGTGTCTTTTGTTTGCAATGCACCTCAGACGCCTTCTATGACCTCCGGCCTCCGAATACATGCCTTGCCGCAGGAAAGCGAAATTCCCATTCAATGGGTGAAGTGGGCAGGCCATCTGTCCACTCCTGCCTGGCACTTGGTCTCGCCCTCAACAGACATATCTCCGACCGAAATGAAAATAATGTCGCTTTGCCAGATATAATAAGGTTCAGGGAACTTGGGCATATAGCGTCATATGAGGGTTACACACTTACACGGACAACCCTAAAACCTCTGGTGGTGTGGGCTGTGCGTTTGTAAGTGGCGGCGTCATCCGGTCGTTTTCCTTGCTTCCACATGTGTCGGTGTTCGCATCGGGACTGATAGCAGTAGTAAAGGCGCTATGTTTCATTGAAGTCGGTGGCAAACCTTTACATGCCATTTTGACGGACTCTGGGCAGCGTTCTTAGTCCGAGGTCTTTTCACCTATCATGTCCCCTCATACAGGACATTTAAGCACGTCTGACTCAAGTGGATCAGGCTGGAAAGAAATTCATATTACGTTGGATCCCCAGTCACGTTGAAATCGCGGACAACGAGGCGACTGACGCGGCTGCCAGGTGAGCAGCGCTGGTTCCATATATTCATTCTTTTTGTATCCTTGCTAGAGACCTTCCCCTTTCACATTTACCTTCTTCCACAACAAGTGGCAGCGTTGTTTGGATGGGATGGATGGTAATAAGCTTAGAGCAACAAAACCCAGGCTGAGTCAGTGGTTCTCTTGTTACCGCAAAGTGAAACAAGAAGAGGTGATTCTCTGCGGACTACGTATCGGGCACACGTCCACAACCTACGGCTGTATGTTAGGGTGAGCCGATACACCTATTTGCCATCGATGTGGTGCTGTTCTCACCGTTCGCCACGTGTTTGTAGCGTGTCTCCGCCTCGTGGAAGAACGTCAACGTCACTTTGTACAGCATGACTCGCCCCTGACGTTCTGTGGCGTATTAAGAGACAACTCACGATTTCTTGAATATCAGCAGGTCTTTTTGTTCCCCGAACACATAAACTTTAGACCATTTACGCGTTTCATTATTCAGGTAAAAGAAAGCTCGTTAATGACGTCAAATGATCACCACAGTCGGCGCGCTTGTAAACTCCAATCAACAACAAGAACATGCTATCATGTTGCTTTTCGGCGGCAAGGCCCAATTGTGAGCAAGTGTGGGGCGGGCTGACATCTTACGTCTCATGTGAGGATACTCCGAAGACGTCGGCTCATGCAAATGGGCATAGACGATGAATGAAAAAGTCGTGAACCGACTCAGCGTTGCATATATTTCAAGGTTGTGGAGACGTAATCGACGGATGGCTGCAGTAGCAAGGCACAGGTCTCGGGCACTTGTTCATGGGAGTATTTCAAGGTTCTTGAGACGTAATTGGCGGGTGAATACAGTGGCAAGGCGCAGGCCCCGGACACTCTTCCGTGGCAGGTATTTCAAGGTTCTGGAGTAGGGAGTTGACGGATGGATGCAGTGACAAAGCGCAGGTCCCGGGCCCTCGTTTGTTTACGTAAAACTCACTTCAAGGCTGTGAATTCCCTGAATGAACGGAACTCGTTGATTGGTAGCATTTGTAGAATGGAAATGCCCCCCAGAGCTGTGATGTGTGTTACCTGTGCGGTTGGCTGCTTCCATAGTATGTTGAATGGGTTGCATGGGTGGCTGTCTGCTTAGGCTCAGAGCATTTGTTGCGCGTACCCTGAACTGTAGCTGTGCCGACCCACCACCTCTCAAGCTGTGCCAATCCAGGCCACCTGATACTTTTTCCGCCACCCAGTTTGTCAGGCTGGACTGCTCAGGGTTGTACATAGTATGCTACGACACGGGTGTTCCGAGCCGAGGTACCTTGGTGGCCGGTTGCCAACTAACACCTCCATGCTAATCGTGCCAAAGCTTGCGTCTATTGTGAGACTGGTGCCTAATGACGCCGAAGCACGAGTCCAGCATCTCTCCCTTAGGCCATGTAGGGGACGGATTATTAGTGTCGCTCTGCTCTTGCAGTATCACGCTAACATTTCATCCTTGCTCCTTGAAAATGACATCGCGTAGACCACCTCTTTTTAAATAGATACCGCGGCTTTCACTTACCGCGCAGTTTACCGCGCAGCTTACCGCGCAGCTTACCGCGCATGACCATAAAATGAAGACGTGGGATTTTGCAACTGATGTTCGGTGGCGCCACTGCAGGGTTGGGTTTTTTTCTCTCCAGCAGTTTAAAAAAGGAGTTACTTAGCCCGTCTGCCATGCGACTGCAGTTTCGAAAAATCGCAGTACTGCTTCAATACTGGTGCTGTTTTCGCTTTTGTTGCTTAAGTTCCTCCAAGAGCAGGGCGTCGGAGTGTGGAAGCCTGCCTGTCAGGTTGGGAGAATTGAGATGCAAGGTGTGGCCTTTCATTATGTTTTTTGTCGGTGACAGTTTGTTTCAGCTTTGCTGCCACTGTGGCTCAGTCGACGGAATGGTGAACACCTGATTGGTGGTGGTCGAGGTAAACAACTTCTTCGGACTGAGATCACCTAATGGTGGCAGGCTTGTCAGTCTGCGCAACATACTATGCTTAGCAAAGGCATTCATTCCAAAGTCATCCCGGCAAAATATTTCATCAAATTTTAAGAAGAAAGTTCGCATTAAATGAGCGGCTTGGGCGTTGAATATAACATCTCTCCGAGTTTGTGCAATGACTTCTGGATACTTCACGCTGTACTGCCAAATGTTTAGCAGCTTCAAAATGATCAATTTGAAACATTCTGTTCAAATTATGTGGGTGTTTATTCGGGTCGTGTAGCTATCATGCCAAGGCTTGCATTCGTCTTCAACTTTTAGAGGAGACTACTCTGCATTCGTCTTCCGTTTGTTAATCATGTTGATGCAATGCATTAACCGCCGTAACGGTTCAGCATGGTGAAAGCAATCAGGGCTGCCAGCTGCCAGTAATCAGGGCTGTCAGCTGCCAGTAATCAGGGTTGCCAGCTGCCAGTAATCAGGGCTGCCAGCTGCCAGTAATCAGGGCTGCCAGCTGCCAGTAATCAGGGCTGCCAGCTGCCAGTAATCAGGGCTGCCAGCTGCCAGTAATCAGGGCTGCCAGCTGCCAGTAATCAGGCTGTCAACTACCAATAGTCAGGGCTGCCAGCTGCCAGTAATCAGGACTGTCAACTACCAGTAACAGGGCTGCCAGCTGCCAGTAATCAGGGCTGTCAACTACCAGTAACAGGGCTGTCAGCTGCCAGTAATCAGGGCCGTCAACTGCCAGTAATCAGGGTTGTCAGCTGCCAGTAATCAGGCCTGTGAGATGCCAGTTATCAGGGCTGTCAGCTGCCGATAATCAGGGCTGTCAGCTGCCAGTAATCAGGGCTGTCAGCTGCCAGTAATCAGGCCTGTGAGCTGCCAGTAATCAGGGCTGCCAGCTGCCGGTAATCAGGGCTGTCAGCTGCCAGTAATCAGGGCTGTCAGCTGCCAGTAATCAGGCCTGTGAGCTGCCAGTAATCAGGGCTGTCAGCTGCCGGTAATCAGAGCTGTCAGCTGCCAGCAATCAGGGCTGTCAACTGCCAGTTAATCGTCTTATTTCACTGTGGGATCCAGAGATGAGAATGAAGTTCACGAAGGCCGCGGACGGACGCTATTGACAAAATTCCCCGGTCCGCGGCCCGTTATCATGGGCACATATGCATGTCAACCAAGATATTTTTCGTACTTTGTAACCACAGATTCCGAGTGACAAAGTTAATAGTGCGTGGTGTACCTGGTCATGAAGAGCTTTGATTTTTTTTCGTCCGCGCGTTGAGCAAACCGTGACACGTGATTTCATTGCTCTCACTAAAAAATGTTTTGGGGAGCGCTGTGACGTCTGCATTGCTTCATGCAGCAGTTGATGTAGTGTATGATGGATACATCATGCTATGACATTTGTGCTCATTAGCTACATGAAATGTATTTTTGCTTGCAGGAACCTCGTCGGGCTTTTAATTTGGAGGCTGAAGCATATGGGATAATGCCAGTCAGAGAAGGTAAGTGCTTACAATGGCACTTTCCAGGCCTCATATGCCGTAATGTTACTCAGCACATGCAGCTGCATGCTTACCTGTCTCGCTGCCGATAAGCCCACAGTGGCAGTAATGGTTGGGCTATTCCTCCATCACCTAGTCTGTGCAGCTATGACTGTGACTGCACCACTCCAGAAGAGCAACCAGCCACAGTCAGAGACAGTGAGAGGCAGCTGTGACTGTGCTGCACCACTCCAGAACAGCAACCAGCCACAGTCAGAGACAGTGAGAGGCAGCTGTGACTGTAACTGCACCACTCCGGAACAGCAGCCAGCGACAGTCAGAGACAGCGAGAGGCAGCACACGGGCCTTGCTGCAGTACCACATGACTCAATCAGCATGGTGTAATGCAAAGACATCCTCAGCGGTGCTGAGCCGCTAAAAGGACGGAAGCAAAATGGTCTTTTGAACAAGAACCGCAGCCTTCGGTTGGAGAGGTCGGGTTGGACTCCGCGAATTCTGTTTGGGGCGTGGTAAAATTGCTGAAAAAATGACATTCGCTTCTATTCCTCCTGATGTCTCATTCTAGTCCCTTTCGTCGTGGTCAGAAATGCTGAGATGTGTCGGTAGTGGTAACAATTATTGATGCAGTAGTAATGCTGTGCAGATGGACTGCGCGCTGGGTTGCACCAGAGCCTTTAGTTTCTCCATTGCGTGTATATTATCTTACCGGGCGTATTGGCCTTCTGAGATTGAAGCGTCGATGCATGCCATCGTACCATGCAACTCCCGTCTTCCTGTTGCATGCCGCTTTGTGCCGCGCGGCTGTTAATGGTCTCAGCTGCCATTTGCTGGCTGTATGCAGCCAGTGATCAATGTTGTCTGCGCTGCCTTCATCTATATGCCTTTGCACTGTGTACGCCGGAGCCCACAGCCTGTGCTGGTCTGGTGCCCAGTGCCCTATGGTCCTGGCTCGCTCCTCGGCCGGCCGTGCCGCCGAGCACCGCTCACCCAGTGCCCAGTGCCCTGTGGTCCTGGCCCGCTCCTCGGCCGGCCGTGCCGCCGAGCACCGCTCACCCAGTGCCCAGTGCCCAGTGCCCTGTGGTCCTGGCCCGCTCCTCGGCCGGCCGTGCCGCCGAGCACCGCTCACCCAGTGCCCAGTGCTCTGTGGTCCTGGCCCGCTCCTCGGCCGGCCGTGCCGCCGAGCACCGCTCACCCAGTGCCCAGTGTCCTGTGGTCCTGGCCCGCTCCTCGGCCGGCCGTGCCGCCGAGCACCGCTCACCCATTCATTTCCTTTGCCATCACATTGCTACCCACACGCATCGTCGACCGGCATCAGTGTGACCACGCGTCTCGTGGAGCGGTGTGCGCATTTACGGTTAACACACGCTCTGTGTACGTGGCCGGCCGACAGAGGTGGAGCGGGCGGTGGCGGCGCTAGACGGCGCGCGCGCCCAGCTGAAGGAGACGGACGGACCGGCGGCCGACCCCCAGCTGGGCGCCCAGCTGGCCCGCATCTCCGATCTCCTCGCCGACCCCATGCTCGGCCGCATGCTCAAGATACAGGTGCGTCCCCGGCCGGGCGGCGACCTGGGCGGGGTTCGGCGCTCGCACGTGTGCCATCGCTGGATGTGCTGTCGTGACCGAGGCTCATGATGCTCGTGTTGGCCTGGTCAGGCGACTGTCATCTGTAGGAAATGGACGCGCCAATCGATATTGCATCAAAGTTTTGTTATGGGAGATGGTTTGTTATGGAATGATCGCAAGCAGTGGTGACTAATCATCGATTATACATGGCGCGCCCAAGAATATGCCGGGTTCAAAGCTCAACGGGGCGCGGCGTTGGTCGTCGGGACAACCTGGGGGTGTCTTGTATGGATACAGCGGCACCGCGGTCCCCTGATTCGATTAAGCTGTACAAAACGGACATTCGTAGTTACCGCGTTTGTAATTTACGCTAAATAAGTCTCACAAAGCACATCATTTGCACAGTAAATCTCGGAAGACGCCGTACTTTAGACTAAGCTAAGAGCGGTCTCTTTGCTAGGCGGCAATGTTTCCAGACTGCGCCAATGGCTTCACGCGTCCCTCTCGTACCGGCTGATACCGTTTACCGACTAAAAAAACGTTCCGTGTTTTAAATGTATTAATAGCAAGACCTCGTAATTTGTTGTTACCCTATGAGAGTCGAATGATAGCACACCTTGTCGTCCAAGCTGACCACAGGCCGCGCAGCGTCCGGGTCCGGCCAGTGAGACAGTACGAGTGCGGGTCGGGCCGTGCCGGTGCTGCCGGCCGGTCGTGCCCGTATTGTTAACATCGGCCGTAACCTCGTGCGGCGTCAGCCAATCACAAAACACTCGCACGCCACTGATTGGAGCGCTGATTGCATTGATCGGCCCCGTCTCCCGCCCCGCCGGACATGTATGCGCGCCGCAGTCAGCGGTGCGCTTCCGGCACGGGCGGTCCAGGCTGTCCGACGGACGTTCTGAGCGGCGGCGCTCCACTCCCCCCCCCCCCCCCCCCATGATCCATTGTCCGACGGACACCCGCCGAGGACGAGATGGGGAGGGGGCTGCGGCCCGCACCCGTCCCTCTGCCTTGGTGGAGGCGGCCGACGAGGCCGCTGTGTGCCCGAGTCGTAATCGAGTTGGCCGCGCTCCCTGGGCCGTCTCCGTCCGGGCCCTAACCGCATTACGACGGGACCGATGGGACCGGGCGCGTTCGGAGGGTTCGTTTACCTGTGCCGGCTCCGGGTGGCTGGGGTGCCCAACTGTGAGAGGACTGAGTACCCTTGTGTAATGCTTGTCTCTGACGTCCTCCGTCGGTGATGACCGGGCATATATGGACCCACTTCGCCTATTCTGACAGGGCTGGCGCAGCGCTGTATGTTACGTGATAAGAGGAACGCACCCTTCGCGAATGCGCATCCGTGTTCTAACTCGCGCTAATTCTCGCACTGATTCACCCGTCTTCCATTTCCAAATAGTTGGCGCAGGGATATTGTCGGTCTTTTCCGACCGCTGTAGCATGCTGCTTTGCGTGCAGTGCGACAGCGTACGCCAGACTGACGCGAATGCACCAACTGCGCGGGTTCATCTCGCACCGTGTCCACGTTCATCGACGTGGTGTACACAACCAGGCGCAAACATGCTATTGCTAACACATTTGGTCTCATATCTACGTTATTCTTTGTGGATGAAACCTGGTAAATCGGAGCAACTTTCTTATCCCGGTGGCTTACTAAGAATACCATAGTCATTCCATCTGGCTCTGTTTCTGACCGAATAAGCAACATACTAACGCTTATTTTACACGAACTTCTTGCACATTAAAGCCAATACTCTGTCATGCATTGACATTTTCCCCTCAGTTCAGTGCACCAGCAGCCGACAGAGTCGACATGCCCTTATCCTCACTTCCCCAGAGAATGACGTCCTAGATGCGTTTTTCTCCCCGTGTTCTTGGGATAGTTTCAGGAGTGTGTATCCGGTCGTATTTTAGTCACGCACACGGAGAAGCACCATATCACCAACCCCTGGGAAATCTTGGGAAGTGGAGTATTAATGTTAGACCCGTTTGCATTTTGCTGTTGGCTTTAAGTGGGCTCTGCGCGCCAGCTGCCGTCATATTGAGCCCAGCTAATGCTAACGTGCAGTTAATGCTAGCGTAAAGCTCGCGAATTACCGGCAACTCCGAACACTGCCGAGTACGTTGCAAACGAAGACGACTGCTTCATTCCCGACGCTGTCAGCGGATGTTTGGAGTGAAACGATGGCCTGTGAGTGCCAGAGGAACGCGTCAGCGCCAGTGCCAACATGAATGTGAACAGCCCTGCCACCCTTAATCGATGGGTGTACAGTGTTTGTCTAAGCGCCGCGTGCCACTCCTTACCCTGTTTGCTGGCCCGCTGCCGCCTCGCGCGCTGTTGGCGGACTGTGATCGCCGCTGTGTGCCGCTCTGTTCCCCTGTGTGCTCCCAGGTGCTTCTGTGCATCGCCATGTATCGCTTTGTGTCGCTGTGAGTCGCTGTGTGTCGTCGTGAGTCGCTGTGCGCGACAGCGTGTCGCTTTGTGTCGCTGTGTGCCGCTATGTGCCGCTGTATATCGATGTGTGTCGATGTGAGTCACTGTGTGCCGCTGCGTACCGCTGTGTGTCGCTGTTTGTCGCGATGTGCCGCTGTGTGTCGCTGTGTTCCACAGTGTGCCACTGTGAGCCGCTGTGTGGCGCTGTGAGTCGCTGTGGGCCACAGTGTGCCACTGTGTGCCGCTGTGTGCCGCGGTATGCCACAGTGTGCCGCTGTGAGTCGCTGTGGGCCACAGTATGCCACAGTGTGCCGCTGTGGGTCGCTGTGCGCCACAGTGTGCCGCTGTGAGTCGCTGTGGGCCACAGTGTGCCGCTGTGAGCCGCTGTGGGCCGCTGTGGGCCGCTGTGAGTCGCTGTGGGCCACAGTGTGCCGCTGTGTGACGCTGTGAGCCTCTGTATGCCACAGTGTGCCGCTGTGTGCCGCTTTCTGCCGCTGTGTGCTGCTGTGAGTCGCTGTGTGCCGCAGTGTGCCGCTGAGAGTCGCTGTAGTGCTGCTTTGTGCCGCTGTGTGCCGCTGTGTGCCGCTGTGTGCCGCTGTAAGTCGCTGTGTGCCGCTTTGTGCCGCTTTGTGTCGCCGTGTGTGCTGTCACTGACGGCCACCGCTGGGCAGGAGTCGCTGTCGCGGCTGCGGGGCCAGCTACTGGCGCACCCGTCGCTGGTGCCGGACGACTTCGACATCGTGCCGGAGACGGGCGAGCTGGTGGTGCGGTTGTCGCCGCTGGTCGGCCGGCCGGCCAGCGGCGGCGAGCCGCGGCCGCCGCTCACCGACGGCGCCGAGCGCCACCTGCAGCCCGACTCCGACCCCGAGCCCGACCAGGAGCCTGACCAGGAGCCCGACCAGGACCGACACCAGGAGCCGGAGGAGGGGCGGGAGCGGGGGCTGGACCGGGACGACAGTGTCGAGGTGAGCTCCGTCGGAACGGGAACAAGAATAAACGGGATCGGAACCGGGACTGGGACTGGGACTGGGACTGGGGCCAGAACCAGGAATGGGACCAGAACCAGAACCAGGACCAGGACCAAAACGAAAACCAAAACCAAGGCCAGGACCAAAACCAGGACCAGGACCAGAACCAGGACGACTGCCATCCTCTGACTTAACTATTGTGAGCCGAGCGTTCCTCTCCATGCCCGAGCTGCGTCACGTGGGCTGGTCTGGCCACCGTGCGGCCCCACGCTCGGGGACCCTCGGGTGGTGACGTCAGGCCGGCGATCGGTTTCCGATGGTCGCTGTCTGTGTTGGCGGACCGCGGCGGTGCCGGCCACTTGGCGCCGCGCCGACCGGCCCCCACCGCTGGGACTGGATCGGCAGACGGCAGCCCCGACCCTCGGACCGGCCAACAGACGACAGCCCCGACCCTCGGACCGGCCGACAGACGGCAGCCCCGACCCTCGGACCGGCCAACAGACGACAGCCCCGACCCTGGGACCGGCCAACAGACGACAGCCCCGACCCTCGGACCGGCCGACAGACGACAGCCCCGACCCCCGGACCGGCCGACAGACGGCAGCCCCGACCCTCGGACCGGCCGACAGACGGCAGCCCCGACCCCCGGACCGGCCGACAGACGGCAGCCCCGACCCCCGGACCGGCCGACAGACGGCAGCCCCGACCGTAGGACCGCCGGCGGATCCGGTCCCGACCCGTGGTGCTGGGTGTGAGCTCTTGTTCCACCACGACCGCTGGGGCTGCCAGTCGACTCCAGCTGTCGCCCTGTCGGCCGGCTTGACCTCAGCTCACACCGCGGAGACCGAGCGAGGTTCGACTCGTGGGCCGCTCGTGGGCGGGATCCAATCCACGGGGACGGAGACGCCGGCCGGCTGTGATCCGACGGACCCCGGCTCGGCGTGCGTGTACGTACTGAGGCTGGGGCCGGCTGTGATCCCGACGGACCCCGGCTCGGCGTGCGTGTACGTACTGAGGCTGGGGCCGGCTGTGATCCCGACGAACCCCGGCTTGGCGTGCGTGTACGTACTGAGGCTGGGGCCGGCTGTGATCCCGACGGACCCCGGCTCGGCGTGCGTGTACGTACTGAGGCTGGGGCCGGCTGTGATCCCGACGGACCCCGGCTTGGCGTGCGTGTACGTACTGAGGCTGGTCTCATTGGACGCTCTCCAAACGACGACAGCTGCGGCATCACACATCGCAATGATAGGCCCAAAATGTCAACCCAAGTTAAACCAATCTTTTTGTGGTGGGAATCGAGCTAGCAGTCGCAAGCCATTTCATCCAAACAAGTACTGTAAATTAAGGCAGACTCGTTCTCCACTCGCCAGTATTTACTACTTTTGTGTAGTGATTGCTTCACTTATGTGAAGAGGAACGTTTGTAGTAAAATGAATATGGTGTCGGGGGTTATTATTGTTTACTTGCATCAACTGCAGCAATGGAGAGTCACCTGTGTCGGTCTCGCATAATGTGAAATGTATCTTAGATGCCGTCTTATGTCCAGCCATCCGTTTTCTACGTAATCGGATTCTTTTTAGGGCGTTGCTTTGCTCGTGTTAGTTTCCCTTGGCGTGTCCTTCCGTCCGTCCGGCTGTTTCTGTATCTTGTTGTCCCTGTGTCGCCATTCTGCACCGTCGCTCGTGCTCGGCTGGACTCCTCCCAGCGGTCAGCTCCCCGCTCTCTCCATCACCTCCGTGCCCTCGGATCGTCCACCGCGCTCTCTCTCTCTCTCTCTCTCTCTCTCTCTCTCTCTCTCTCTTCCTCTCTCTCTCTCGTCTCGCTCATCGCTCTCTCTCTCTCTCGTCTCTCCCTCTCCTCTCTCCTCGCTCTCTCTCTCTCT